CACGGCTTCGTTCACATCCTGCACAACGTACGATGCCTCCACCAGGCTGGGGTCGAAGCTGAAATCCCGATGGCCGTGGAACACAGTCTCTGTGTTGTGCTTCTCTGGCTTACTGGGAGCTTCTGCGCTGTGGCGGTAGACCCCAGTGCAGACCAGAATTGACTTGCAGCTCTCCACCGCAAGGTGGTCCTCGCTTTGGGGACTGGCTGCCTGTGGGCTCCTCTTCACCCCAGCCTGGGCCTGGTTCCGCTGAGCTGACTTGAGGTAGTTGTTGTAGAGGTTTGCCCCATAGATGTCAGACATAGGGTTGTCCCTGGATAAGGTCACAGCACGAAACAGAAATGAGAAACCAACCCACACATCAATTTCTGGCTCTGGCAGTCTGGGAGGAAGGCAGCACTGAGGGAGGAAGGGGTACGAGGTGTTTGTTAACATCAAGAGAGCCACCCAGACTGGGCAGGCAGTCCACTTACTGGTGTGTCCCGTTCGGCTGTGGTGAAGGCCACATGCTTCACAAATGTCTTCTTTCAAAGAGAAAAGGTCATGTCCAAAGCAATTTTAGCCATTACTGTCATGTATTCCCTATAATCCCAAGTGTTTGGCCTTACTGGGCTAACGGTACTACATTCATGTCTTTTACCTTTATCTTTACACCAGCCATGCTACGTGTACACAGCACCCTCAGTAACAGCTTTGCTAGGCTGGCAGTGCCCTTCAAATTACAAGCGTAGGGTACAAAAAGATAACATCCCCCTTCTAAGCTGTGAGGCTGCAGTTACCGCGGGGACTTCAGTATTTGTTTTAGATACCTCCATTAAATAAAACTACTTAAATCAGTTAGCAACCCCCTAAGCAAACCAGAAGGTAACTCAGTCTCTTACCCAATTGCATAGAGGCGTCGGATGGGAGAGTTCCAGCCCTGCTTTTTGGCTTGCTCGTGGATCAGGTATTCGGCATAGCGGTAGGTGACTGTGCTGGGTTTGCCAATCAGGGCCTCGTACTTCAGCTCCCGGCCTGTCACCTTCTTGTAGATGTTCTCCAAGCAGAGAAGGAAAGTGCCATGGCCGAACCTGCTCCAGAAAGGTCATCAGTGTCCCCAGTCACCCCACTCGCACCGCAAACACTCCTCAGGGAGGAGGACGACCCATCTGCTGTAACCAGGGTACTGCACAGTTTGGACGTGGCATCTGCCCACAGACTCCTACACAGGCAGCGATCTGTTTTTTTGCTTCTTTAAAGTTAGTCTTAGTTTCTCATGCAATTTTTTGTGTTTCTGCTTCTAATTATGTCACACAGGCAGACTAGCACTAAAAAACACACTATGTCAAAAAAGGCCATCTGCAGGAGATCTGTATGAAGCACCCTAAAATTTATAAACATGCTTTTTACCTGGGCATCTTGGCTTCAGCCATCCACAGGAGATCCATGTTGCAGGCAAGGACAGGCAGGTGGGGGTATGGTATTTCTTTCAGCTCTGCCCCGGGGCTCCCATTGCTCAGGAGCACGTCAATAATAAGTTGCAGGCTTGTCTCCCACCTCACTGGCTCACCAAACAGAATCACCCCTGGAAGATGTCAAGAGATGCTTGGAAACTCAGTGTCCATGTATGCGACCTACTACCAAAAGCTTCTAACTACAATCCCTCTGCTGGGATGCCCCAGCTCATACAGCTACCATTAAAACACGGCCCCAGTGTGCGTGGCACCGTACCACACTCACCACTGCTTCCAGATGCTGGAGCACGGCATGCATAAAAGCTGGCTTTGCTCTTACCAGCTCGTGCTTCACGTTGCATGAGGGCAGCCTGGCTGCCACCTGGCTGTACCCTCTGAATAAGCTGCCCGCAGATATCCACGAGCTGCTAGCACGTCGTTAGCTCCCACCCCAGCTGACTTGCCTTACTGTTATTTCTGCTTGCTGTTCGTATGTAAACACAGGCCACTGCTTACCTTCTATAGTGGGGAAGCCAGTGGTTGGAGGAGGCTGCCAAAAAATAAAAAGACAGAGCAGGTTAGTAATGCAAAAGCTAATGCAGTCTCCAAAACAAAACTAAAAATGCTTCCTCTGAAACTGCCAAGGCAGTCCCATAAAGGGTCAGGACAAGGCCACCTTGAATCCCAAGAAAGATTTCCCCCACGCTCCCATCCCAGATTGGATTTCGCAGATCTTGTGTTCCTGTCTCTCAGACCCGGAGGTGTCAACCAAGGCATTTTACCAGTCACTGCAAGGAACAGCAGTGAAACACGGGCATGGCGTTAGTAAGCAGTGGGAAAACAGACTTCCCTTCCAGCAGGAGACAACACAGGGAACAGCAGAGAGATGCTGGCTGCACAGCACCAACCCCAGGCTCTCCCTGAAGGTCACAAGCAGCCAAAGTCTGCTCTGCGACTTTGTAGCTTCTCCACCCCCTGCTGTATCCTGTAAGCAACACCACACCGGACCACTCGTTCCACCGACGTGTCAAGAGATTACCAACTCCTTCGGCCTCCGGCTCTGATCCACCATGTCTAATAGGGGATACGCCTTCCTCAGTGCCTCGATGGTGACCACATTCTTGAACCCCAGGCTATTTCAGTTCATCAAGGAATCATGAGGACTGCTTTTTGTTCAGTTGCTTTTTTTGAGTTACTAGCAAAGGCATCTATAGGATTAAGAAATGCTAGTCCTAGTAGCAGAGCAGTTACAGAAACCCAGTAACGCGTTAACTTCAGGGCTTTCAATCGAACTGTAGGTTATGTTTCAACCTAAAGGTGGCCTTAAGGTTTACCAAAAAAAAAAAAAAGGCACAGACGAGTGATTTACTTTGTAATCAGGAACACCTGCAAGTAGGAAGAGCACACAGGTGGCTCCGAGACAGCATGGATGTGCTTCAGGAGACCTTTAAGGCCAGCACTCTGGTGTTGGGGCACTGCAGGTCTGGCCTCGTGGCTAGAAGCACAATTGGTGAAGCTCTGGCCAGCTGGTGAAGACAGCGGTGTGTGCTGGTAAAAAGACACAAGGCAAGGCTAAGTTGCATTCACTTGCGGAAAACCTTGCCATTAGCTCATTCTGCTTGTCTTGGGGAAACACGGCAAAGCCACAGTTTTGTACCAAATGCAAAGATTAAGCACAAGGAGTGACTGGACACATGCATGCAGAAGGTGAGGGTCTGTTCTGTGTGTTCCCTGTTCCAGTTCATTTTGTTCTCTGTGGGACACATTAAGCTAACTCAAAGAAGCCTTTAAAGCCCTCAGTTAGAGAGAGAACCATGATCCAAATCCACCCCTTCAGAGAAGCTGAGCAGAAGCAGGTTAGGATGAAGTTCTCCTTCCAGAGCTAACCCTGGCATTAAAGGCGACATGCCTTCAAAGGAACGGGGCTGTGCAAACGAGGGGAAGCTGCCCAAAGCACTTCGGTGATGAAGCTGATGGGCTGAAATGGTGAGCAGACACACGGTCCAAGATGCTGTAGATGTTGCAGGCAGTTCTTACCTCCTTGCAGATACGAGCTATGTCAGACCCTTACCTTGGGAGGACCGTATGCATGTGGGATTGTCTTTTAAACCATGTCTCTGCTGTACCACGATGCTCTGGCTCTAATGATGTTTGAGACGCTTCAATTGCTATTAGATTGCTGGGGAAAACCTCAGTTGTGGAAGTGCTGGGAGTGACCTACAAGGCATTTTGCCATGAAAAAAGTGGCAGGAGCATAACTTTATCTCAAAAGTGAGTCCCCCTGATGACATCTTGCTAGCGAGAACACAGCTCGGAGGAGGGGTAATCAGCATGAGAGGCGAAATGCTGACCAAGGAAAGCCAAGAAGGGCTGAGATGGAGATCGGCAGTAAGTGCCTACAGCTGAGCCTCTCCCCGTAACACAGCAGAGGTCTTTCTGTCCCCTTGTGCCCCTACAAGCTGACCGGGCAGGTGTTACGTGCAGGGGCAGAGCAGGAATGGCAGCAAGAAGCAGTCTGCGCACAGCAAAGGATACTTGTGGGCGTTCTCCTCCACGGGCCCCTGCCCGGCCACCAGCATGCACCTGCGGTGGAACTGGCTGAAGAGCCGCAGCGGGCTGTGGGACAGGATCACCTGCTCCGGAGACACCTGCGGGGACAGCAGAGGCGAGCCCAGGCTGCCGGGGGGGGGGGGGCCGGCAGGGCCGTGCTGGGGCTCCCCGGGGCTCCCCTCACCTGCAGCCCCAGCGCCTGGGCCAGCTCCCGGGCCTTGGCGGCCCGCAGGCAGTTGCCGGCGTTGGTGAGGAAGACGACGGGCACCCGCAGCCGCCCGCCGGCGCCCGCCAGCCTGCGGAAAGCCTCCCGCGCGGCGGGCAGCACCTGGCTGCCCCGCACCAGCACGCCGTCGATGTCGAAGAGGAAGCCGAAGGCCGGCGGCGGCTGCAAGGCGAGCGGAGGAGCCCGCGGTCAGCGCCCGGCCGCCATTTCCCCAGCCCCAGCGGCCGCCCCCCGAGCCCAGCGCGGGCCCCGCCGCCGCCGCCGCCGCCGCTCCTCACCCGGCCCCCGGCGCTGCACCCCCGGCCGGGCGGCCCCGCAGCGCGCAGCGCCCCGCGCCCGGCCCGCAGGCAGCCCCGCAGCGCCATGCCGGCCCCTGCCTCCTGCTGCCTGGCCCCGCACGGCTCGGCCCGGCTCGGCTGGCTCGGGGCAGGGCACGCCGGGGCTCGTAGTTCCCGGACTACAGCTCCCGGCGGGCGCGGGGCTGGGGGGCGGCGCTGAGGGCGGTGTCTTGGCACGCCTGGCAGAGCCGCTGCCCTGCCGCCGCTCGGTTTTTTCCACAGAAACCCACGTCTACTGGGCTCCTGCCTGCAGATTGTACAATCTTCCGAAGCCCCGAGCCTGTTCCTGGCTCTGCTGGTGTGTCCCAGCGGCTCCCTCTTTTTTCCAGCAATGTTTGCTTGCTTTCTGGATAGGCTTAAGGTCTCCCGACTCCTACAACTTCAAGCATCAATTACACAAAGTCCAGAATTATTTGTTTCCCTCACCACGAACGTGGCTGTTAATTAGCTTTGGACCCACCTTCACACCCTTTCTGCAGCGCTGTTAAAGCACTGGCCCCGCAGGGTTACGCATTTTTACAGCTGGTGACACCTCCTCAAGCGCCTTTCCCTTGACTGAATTACCTATCCGCGTATTTCACAGCGTTTCCACAACCTGCCCAGCACCCCTACGCTTCCCTACAAGCGCCTGCAGCTCCTCCTCGCCCTGGCAAAGCTTATGCCGGCCATGGAAGCATGACGGAAAGCTCAGCGCTGGCTCTGCAGCACGGGGTTAAAGCCTCTTGCTGAGCACAGCTCCGTGGGGACGCCCCCACCGCCGGCAGGGGTCCCCGCTGCTCCACGGGCCCGCGGCTGGCACAGGGCTCTCGGCACGGGGGGAGCAGGGGGCCCTGCTGGAGGGAGGGCTTGTTCCGCCCTAAAGGGAAAAAAAAAATGGGTTTAGGGAGGATAGCGGGGAAAAGCAGTGAGCTTTTGGAGATCCGGTGCATGGGAGAGTTGGTTTCCCACTCCCTGGCTGGGGGTGAGCTGCTGCCCCTGCTGCTGTTTGGTTTGCAGGGCTCTGTTTTCTTCCTGTGAACCAGCAGAAAATGCGGCTGGGGCTGGGGTCAGCGGGGGGATTTGGCACCCACCCAGGCCTCCGAGCTCCCCGCGTGGGGTGACTCGTGTGGCGGAGGCCAGGCGGGTGAAGAGGTGCCCCCAGAGAGCGCTTGTGTGCCCCAGCTCCCGGGGGGCTGGCAGAGATGCCGTATTTATTTTTACAAGGAAGGCCGCCCAACAGGCCCAAGTGTTTATTTTTAAACTGCCGCGGAGGGAGTTTGCCAGCGGTCGGGCACAGGCTGAGCCTGGCACGCGTGGCAGGGGCTGAGGGCGGCCAAGCACCGCACCCCGCAGCGCCTGCCTGGGCTGCCGAGCCCAGCACTGCCAGCACCAGCAGGCAGCCTTTACCCCGCTTGTCCCTGCACTGAACACCCAGCCATGTAATTTTCCTTCAAGAAAGGAAAATTTCATCGGCAACGCTACTAGGTTTTGCATGTTACATGTGGGCCCTTTGATTTCTTCTACGGGCGCATCTGGAAAGATCTGTGTCCCCTAACAGCCCCAGTGCCCCAGGGACTGGCTGTCTGCCCTTCTCACACCAGTCTGCGGGGGATTTTCTTCCTCTCTCTACCCCGACCTCGGAGTTTCCCCCACCCCCTTTCAGAGCTGGCTTTAAAGACAAGCAAAACAGCCAGTTGCCCGCAGCCTTCTCCTGTGGGTTCCTGTGTAAACTTTGCAGCTCTGTTTTCCCTGGACTCTTAGCCCTGTCATCACCCCCCCTCTCCCACCCACCCCCTTCTTGACCTTCTAACATCCCCCTCGAAAGCAGCCCTACCTTCAGTCTCTTTTCTTACTGCAGAGGCTCTGGTGGCCTGAGCCAACCCTCCCCCCAGTTTATCTCTTTTCTTTCCCTGCTGCAGCCTGCTGCTGGAATGATGGACAACCTAAAGGTTGAGAAAATACAGTAAAATGCCTTTCTTATCCTGTAATGACCAAGGGGGAGGACACGGCCTGATAAAAATGACAAGCCAGAAGAATTGCGAGCCAGACCCTTCACCTGCCTCTTCCTCAGCAGACAGAAAATGCTTGATCCACTTGCCGTGATTGCAACTGCTGCAAGCCCGTAAAGAAAGGAATTAAGTACTTAGCCGATTAAAGCTACAAGTTTCTGGCCAAGGAAACGTCCTTCTGCTACCTGTAAGAAGACTGTTTCAGAGACCTGCAGGAGAAGAACCTAAAGCAGGCTGAGCAGCAGGAGCTTCTCCAGCCTGGTGTTTTGTGGCAAGATAGAGGGCTTTGCACCTGGCCTCTGCCTGGTCCCACTGCGGTGACAGAGGCTCACATGACGTATAGCCCCAGCGGCTCGCTTAGGTATACCTCTGTTTTCAACCAACTATTTTACTTCTCTGTTTTTGTTGGCGTGATTTTTGACGGCAACCCCTAGTGCTGGATCAGCCGTTTCCTGCCAGCGAATGAGCAGGAAGGTAAACATTTCATTTACTGGAGTGCCCCAAAGGTGGTCTGAGCTGCCATGGAACAAAACAGCGACGGATTTGTGACAGGGTGTGCTGCTAACAAAGCTCCGTCCACCTCCCCTTTGCACAAATCAAACCTGAAGAGGCCACAGGGAGTGACTGATGGGGGAGGGAGCAGGCATAAGGCTTGGTATGTTCCTCTGACCACTTGAAGTAAGCAGTACGGGAAGTTATGGGGATTTTCTGCTCTCCTTCCTTGCTCCTGAGCCCAGATGGACACAGAAGGGAGGCTCTGTCTGACCCTTTAGCTCTTGCTCTGTTCGGTGCAGCCTCCCACCACCCTCTTCCCTCCTCCAGACCTGTTCATCCCAATGCCTCCCTCATCTCAGTGTTTATCAGGTTCTCTGGCTGGCCCTTTCTTCCCATGCCCACCACTAGGACTTGGGCAACAGAGCCCCAGGCTGTACCACGTAGTTAGCAGGCATTTGTCAGCTTTGAAAAGAGTGGGATGGTCGCACAGTATTTACTCTTCTCCTTGTTTTCATCTGTTAAAATCATGCTAAGAGCAAGTAAAATGACCTGCAGTGATTCCTTTTAGCTGCTCATGCTGTGGCTACCACAAATATGGTACAAAGCCATAACAGGAGGAGGTGGCACAGGCAGATCACATCCATCTGGTGATCTCTGTATGAAACTGTGGCCCAGAGCTGAGTGCAGCTACCTTGTGGAGTGGGGAAGGGTTTTTGGGAGGTCTGTGTCACATCTCTGCCAGGTGGCTGAGGCTTAGCTCCACAGTGTGTTAGCCCTGTGGGTCAAATTGCCCTTTGCACCACGCCACAGGCTCCCTTATAATCATACTGCACTGGGTGATGTGAAACATCTCCCCTTCACTGCACATTCCAGAATAAAAATTTAACATGAAGTACTGGTATTCCCAGCACTTCTTGCCACAAAAAAAAAAAAAAAAAAAAAAAAAAAAAAAGGAGAGAGAGAATAATGGAACCCAATAATGGAAACAGGCTTAAAGATTTCAATAAATCTTATGTTCTGAAGGAAATGGGGAAGAGAGCATTATGTGTGATCTATTTGCACAATAAATGTGATCAGGGAACTAAGGAACTAAAGTACTGAGAGTAAGGAAATGGACTGGCAGCAATTGTAAGCTTCCTTACAATGTTGCTGCAAATTGTAAAAACTGAGTCTCAGCCAAGTCCCACAGCCAAGTTTGCCCTAAGCTTTGAGGTTATCTGAATGGATTCATCTTTCTTAACTGCAGCAGTCCAGCCTAAGTCCCTCCTTTTTTGCACACCTAGAGTTGAAGAGGTGAGGATGCAGTCTGGGTTTTGCTGTTATCACCTTCCTCTGAAATATGTCACAGCCCTAAGAAGAGTTGATCCCTAGCTGTAAAACAGGCCAGCCTTTCCTCCTGTCTGACTCTCTACGGCCCTAAAAGTGGTTACAGCTCATCTTCCAAAAGGACTCCAGGGAAGCCTCATGCCCTGTTCAAGCAGAGAAGTGAGGAAGGCTATACCAGTGGAGTCAGAGACCGTCATTCACTTTAGGTTCACATTTAAACATAATTGATCAGGATGGGAAAGTTTCTTCCATCTTGCTAACCCTCATACACCTTCAGCAGAATCAGGGTCACAAATCTGAGGGTAGGCCTGTAGGGTCAGGTTCCACCTTTCTAAGGGCTTCATCCAGAGGGACCTGGACAGGCTTGAGAGGTGTGCCTGTGTGAGCTTCATGAAGTTTAACCAGGCCAAGTGCAAGGTCCTGCATCCAGGGCAACTCCAAGCACAAATACAGGCTGGGCAGAGAATGGACTGAGAGCAGCCCTGAGGAGAAGGACCTGGGGGTGCTGGTGGAAGAAAAGCTCACCATGAGCCATCAATGTACGTTTGCAGCCCAGAAAGCCGACCGTACCCTGGGCGGCATCAAAGCAGTGAGGCCAGCAGGGCAGGGAGGGGATTCTGCCCCTCTGCTCTGCTCTGCGAGGCCCCACCTGGAGCCCTGCGTCCAGCCCTGGGGCCCCCAGCACCAGGACAGGGACCTGTGGGAGTGGGCCCAGAGGAGGCCACGAGGCTGATCAGAGGGCTGGAGCACCTCTCCTCTGGGGACAGGCTGAGGGAGCTGGGGGTGTTCAGCCTGGAGAAGGGAAGGCTCCGGGGAGAGCTTACAGCGGCCTGCCAGTGCCTAAAGGGGCCTGCAGGAGAGCTGGGGAGGGACTCTTGGTCAGGGGGTGCAGTGGTAAGACAAGGGGGGATGGCTTTAAACTAAAAGAGGGTGGAGGTAGATTAGGTGTGAGGAAGAAATGCTTCACTCAGAGGGCGGTGAGGCCCTGGCACAGGCTGCCCAGAGAAGCTGTGGCTGCCCCACCCCTGGAGGTGCTCAAGGCCAGGCTGGATGGGGCCTTGGCCAACCTGGTGAGAGGGGCCCCTGCCTATGACAAGGGGCTGGAACTAGATGATCCTTTATGGTCCCTTCCAACCCAAACCATTCTATGACTCTTCTGCAGATCTCTTCAGACTTGTACAATCTGAAACCCCCAGTGACTTCTGTGCTGTAATCCCAAACATCACCCACTGGCGGTTCCAGATTTTGGGCCATCTCACGTCACAGCTGCTGATGCCAAGTAGGCGAATGACCTAATGCACGACAGGCACTTTCTAGGAAATTAATACTGGTTCCAATAAGTGTTTGGCAAACAGAGGAGCTATCCTTGCTGCTAACACTTGCAGGTAATGAGGGAGAACTACAGGTAAACAATAGGCCACCAGTGCTTCAAGCCATCAAGAGACTGTATGCAGGATCAGCTGAAATGTCTCTGATGTGGAAGAAAAGGAAGAGGCACAGGTCAGCCTGTGCTAGGGAACTCAGCTCCTCCCACACCAATTCTCTAATGATTAGCTTCACCTTGGCAGCATAAAGGCTTGACTAAGGGAGAAGCAACACATGGTAAGTACAAGATCTTCTGATCACATACAGCACAGCTGAAATATTGGGAGGGGACACACTCAGAGGGACTTGCCTTTAGGTCACTGGTTAGCAGCCATCCATCCTACCTGTTTGCAGCAGCTTTCCTCAGCAGGATTACACATACAGCATTTAGTCAGTCATTGGTTATTATGGGGCTGCAAGGAATGCCCACATCAGGGACCGAGCTCTGCGTACTTGAGGAGGGAAGGTGAGGTGCTTTTACACTGGCTCCTCCTCCAGTATAAAGCTCATCCCACTACCAAATCTGCATCAAGGCCCAGGGAAGGCTTGCCAGCAAAGAGCAGCTGCTGGCAGATCAGAGGAAGGTGTGGATCGTGTGGGCAGGGAGCTGGAGTGAAGGCAGCTGTGGCTGGAAGGAGCAAGCAGCGCATGGCACTGAGTCCGAGGTGTGTGGCTGCCTTCTCACTTCTGCTTCCTTTGTGTTGCTGGTTTCTGCAATCCATACACCTTCAATTTGCTGTGTCTTTTTGTTGCTTTTGCCTGGGATAACCAGACACAAGCTTACAGGCTGCGAAATGTGGGCAATTTAACATTGGGCACACAAGGGATGCGCCGACTGTGCAGCTTGATCCACTTCTATTGTGTGTACATTTGTCTCCTGCTAAGGTGTTTTAACTGAGGTTGGTGGAAATAAGCACTGTGACCAGGCAGCTTGGGAAAATTAGCAGGAAACATCAAGAGACCCAATTTGCTTAAGATGGTCAGATCAGGAAATGACAGCCCACATTAAGTTTTAGGCTCTGAGGAAGGGACATTTTGACACCGTTTCCCACAGCATTCTCCTCAAGAAACTGGCTGCTCTTGGCTTGGACTGGCGCACGCTTCGTTGGGTTAGAAACTGGCTGGATAGCCGGGCCCAGAGAGTTGTGGTAAATGGAGCCAAGTCCAGTTGGAGGCCAGTCACTAGTGGCGTCCCCCAGGGCTCGGTGCTGGGGCCGGTCCTCTTTAACATCTTCATCAATGATCTGGATGAGGGCATTGAGTGCACCCTCAGTAAGTTTGCAGATGACACCAAGCTAGGTGCGTGTGTCGATCTGCTTGAGGGTAGGAAGGCTCTGCAGGAGGATCTGGATAGGCTGCACCGATGGGCTGAGGTCAACTGTATGAAGTTTAACAAGGCCAAGTGCCGGGTCCTGCACCTGGGGCGCAATAACCCCAAGAAGAGCTACAGGCTGGGAGAGGAATGGCTGGAGAGCTGCCAGGCAGAGAAGGACCTGGGAGTGATGGTGGACAGTCGGCTGAATATGAGCCAGCAGTGTGCTCAGGTGGCCAAGAAGGCCAACGGCATCCTGGCTTGTATCAGAAACACTGTGACCAGCAGGGCTAGGGAGGTGATCGTCCCCCTGTACTCGGCTCTGGTGAGGCCGCACCTCGAGTACTGTGTTCAGTTCTGGGCCCCTCGCTACAAGAAGGACATCGAGGTGCTTGAGCGGGTCCAGAGAAGGGCGACGAAGCTGGTGAGGGGCCTGGAGAGCAAGTCCTATGAGGAGCGGCTGAAGGAGCTGGGCTTGTTCAGCCTAGAGAAAAGGAGGCTCAGGGGTGACCTTATCACTCTGTATAAGTATATTAAAGGAGGCTCTAGCGAGATGGGGGTTGGCCTGTTCTCCCATGTGCCTGGTGACAGGACGAGGGGGAATGGGCTAAAGTTGCGCCAGGGGAGTTTTAGGTTAGATGTTAGGAAGAATTTCTTTACTGAAAGGGTTGTTAGACATTGGAACAGGCTGCCCAGGGAGGTGGTTGAGTCACCATCCCTGGAAGTCTTCAAAAGACGTTTAGATGTAGAACTTAGGGATATGGTTTAGTGGGGACTGTTAGTGTAGGTCAGAGGTTGGACTCGATGATCTTGAGGTCTCTTCCAACCTAGAGATTCTGTGATTCTGTGATTCTGTGACATCTTTTGGCATGAACTTCTGCAAGTTCTCCCTTAGCAGATGCAAACCAGGGCAATTGCACTGAAGTCAGACAGATGCTAGTCAATCCTGGCTGTGTGCTTGAGCTATGTGTGCTGATGGATTTTGTTGAATTTATTTAGACCCTGATTAAGATTTATTTATTTATTTATTTATTTATTTATTTATAATCTCCCTGAAATTAGATTTTTCCCTGATGTTTTTGAGCTTGTTAAGCAAGGGAATCTGCTTGTCTAGGCACTATTTATCATGCAGCTGCTGCAATACCTTTTTGTGAAAGAACTAGTAACTACAAAGGTCTGAGTGGATATATTGGATATCCATAGTGTGAGAGTAGTTCTCCGCCAAGGTGAGCATCTGTCTGATGTGCTGAATAAGGGCACGTTTGAGTGCTGATCTAGGCAAAAAAAGCTGGTAGTGGAACCCCCTAGAATCAAAAGGTGCTTCCTATAAACAGAGAGGCTTGTGTTAACACATCCCAGGGCAGGATGAGAGCTTAATTAAGCTGGATCTGGGAAGCCAGGGAGGTTTTTTTCTCAGCTGAAAAGTGTTTTAGTTTCCCCGTGACCAGAGGACAGGAAAGGATTCAGCACAGGGAAAGAAAAGAAAAAAAAAAAAAAAGAAAAGAAAGAAAAGAAACAACTGTCATAGAATAAGGCACCTCTTTTTGGCTTTGTGATCTCTGTGTGACCAAGCTTAGACAATCTGGGAACATTTGTACAGGTCCATCTGCCTGTTTCCAGCCGTAGTAGGTCCTGAAATAGCAGACATCAGACCTATGACTGGTTCTTCGACCCAGCAGTGCTATTTTGGCAGCAGGCCCAGGGTTAAACATAACAAGAGTCATTTTCAGTCCTTGCTCTCCTGAAGGTCAGTGGCCCAAATGGCTGGATGTTTGTCTTAGCTGTTTCCGGACAAGGTCTGCATTTTGTAATGATAAGGCGAAATTCAGAGATCCTCATGTTGGCAGTCTCCCACTAAGTCTAATTAGAAGGCATGTTTTTCCTGAGTAAGGATGTCAGGATTTGGTCATTGGCAATTTTTAATTGTTTTGACTATTTTGAGCAGTGTATTCTGCTGTTGTTGTTACAAAGGCTCTCTGCTTCATTTCACCTCCAGTCCCAGACCTTCACAGGGTAGTGCAGCTCATTCCTAGCTTTAAGCCTATCTTACCTGAGTCACCCATGGCCAGAAGAGACTTAGGGGTTTGTTCATCTGCTCAAGTCACATGGAAAAAACAGGCTCCCTCTCAGCAATAAGCCCGGCTCACTCTGGCTTGCCAAATGCCTTCTGAGAGGGGTCTCCTCCCTCCTAAAGCTCCCTCAAAAAGCTATCAGAGAGCTCAGCCACAAATTGGTCCCATTTTTTCTGCCAGACCTCTTTGGCCTTGGCTTTCTCATCCGGTAGCATGGCACTGTATCTGTGAGGAGGAGAAAAGCCTGTATCAGCCAGGAGATGAGGGGGCAGCTATTTCAAGATCAGTGACCACAATGAAAAGGCAGGAAGCAGCAACAGATTAACTCTTTCAGGACATACCTAGGCTGCCCAGAGCACCACCATAATACAAAGAGCCTTGAGCATCCCAAAGTACCAACAGCTACTGAGTCCTGCACCAGGAGAACAAACCAGCTCAGCCTCCTTAAGCTGGGGGCTCGCAGAGGAGCACCAAGTCCCTAGTATAGAAGAAAAGTCTCTGCTGTTGTTTGAGGCACCCCATGGGCTTGGTCCAAATAGGTAAGAAATAAGAGTTTTTGTTGTCTCCCTGGCCATGCAGGGATTTGGGATTGTCATGGGATTTAGCAGACAGAACTCTAGGAATGTGGAGAGAAACCCTGGGCACCACAGCCAAATTATTTGGGGTCATTCATAGATGTCTGGGTAAACAGAAAAAGTGGTTAAAGGTACCTGAACTACGTGCTGGTAAATTGTTTTCCTGTGTTTCCCCAGTGGGCCATGGAAACACCAGGAAATGTCAAATTTGGGCAGAAATAGGCAAATGGTATGAGGACATAATACTTCTCCCCTGTGCAGAATCAGACACTGGAGGCAACTTTGCAAGGGATGAAAAAGGGGGAGAAAACTGAGACACCTGGTTAGAAAGAGGTGCTCAAGGGCATGGACACAAGAAGAATCTGGGGTCCCTGTGTCCTGCTCTTGGAGAAGATGCACACAGAGGAGCCTTTGGGTAAACAGAAGCTCAGCTCATATGGCAGAGGAGACTCTGCCAAAACACAAATAAGGTGGATTTTTGGAGAGCAACCTCGTGTTCCCCTTAGCATTGCTATGGCTAGATGAGAGAGATGAGGGACTTACTTTATGGAGTTAAGCGCAAGTTGTTTTAAGGTCCTCAGGTCAGCATCCATCCCTCCGATGCCCATGAACACCTCGTAGAAGTCATAAGAGACACCCTTCGCCCCAAAGACAGAGGGATCATCGGGGACTGATCACAATGGGGTGCCCTTCAGCCATCAGGCTGGCTGCAGGGGTGGCTCCTCAGGTCAGATACCAACAGCAGGACCTTGGTAGGGGAAGGGCAGGAGACAACATCATGTCAGGTTATTGCTGAAGCCACGCTTGCATTACAGCACCCTATCGCGCCTTATGCCTGCTATAGCTGCCTGGGCCAGCAGGTAGTCATTTATGGGGGGAAAGAGTCAGCAGAGGGCTGTTGGAAGCATATTAGGGTATAATGCCCTGAACTGCTGCAGGAGGAGCCTATTTTTCTCCCTTGACTGTACAAGGAGATTGGTTTCTTAAATTAATCACCTAAATCAAGGCCAGTGGGGCAAATAACATCTGCTTATCTTATAATAATTTAACTGAGCATTTCAGTAGTGGTCTCCTGTTTCCATCTCTGTCCTGACACAGCCCAGGGTGCCTGGAGCTGGTATCAGGGTTTGCTCCCTCAAGGCCCACCCCAGTGCTTCTCTGCCCCACAGCATCCATCCTGCTGTGCCCAGGGGACAATGTGCACCACGCTAATGTGCTGAAAAAGAGTTCCTCCTGGCTATGAGTTCTACAAAACCAGAAGGACTCTCATTTGCTATCCCAGCTTCCCAGCCTCCAGCCCTCCTGGTTTTAAAGTGTTTTCATTCTGTTCAGGCACCTCCCTGGCTCTGGGCCTCGTGTTCACTGGGGAGGACTGCCTTCCCAGGTTTCCCTGGATAAGGGAAATCATTTAAATGATTTTGAGCTAACTGGTGTTACAAGCCCTATACACTTGCAGCGTGCATCTACGTAGCAGACTGCAGCGTAACGTGGGGCAAGGGAAACTGAGCCAGCCTGGGTGCAACAAAACATCTGGCTGCCCCCCAGCTCCCTGCTGCCTCCTCACTGCTAAGGCAGATCCCATTCCAACGTCCCAATCCCAAAGCTTTTATCAACATACCTGGTTGGAGATGGGACAGACTTCTACAGGAATATCCCTCTTCAGAGACAAATTTTTGGCTATCGGGTGTTTAATGAGGGCAAGTCCATGGCCAATCCGACTGGTATTCAGCAGCAGAGCATCCAGCACATTTTTGTCTACAGAGGTACCCTGCCAGTCTGAGCAAAGACAGACGAGAATCACTGCAGTGCTGTAGGGAAACACATCTTCTCAAACTGCTAAATGGTTTTGTTAATATGTGTCTCAGTTGCAAGGTGAGAGGATTGCTCGTGTTCTGAGTTCACTTTTTCAGTGAAATGGGAATTCAGATCTGCCCAGGACATTGCTCACCATGGAGATAGCCACTCACTCACCTAGCTGTAGGTGTCTGCAGTGTTGCTCTTGCAGCTAAGCTAACCTTGCTGGTCTCTGCTCACAGTCAAGGGAGAGGAGTAATAATTTCTGAGGAGTGGCTTGTGCATTAGATGGAGAGGCAGCATACCTGAGAAGTGCCTGTTACTCAGCATGGCTATAAAGGGAACCCAGGGTAACTAGTTCAGATTTAGACATTTGCTCTGTAGATGTCAAAATTTAGGAAGAATAACGTGCTAGTCAGACATAACTGTCAGGCATAGTTAGGAAAAATCCCACGTGTATGGACTGAACTATGTATTGGGACCCACAGCAGCAACAGCTCTTGTAGCATGGCTTCATATTACACATGGGGCAAAGATGCTGACCAACATGAACCCTACACTCGGGAGCAGGGAGCAAGTAGGGGAGGCAAGCAGGAATGCTGCAGCAAGAAGATGATGCGGGGAGAAGCACAGGGAAAACAGACCATGCACCCCCATCGTCTTGATATGGCCAGGCTCGCTGCTTCTGTGCTCTGCAAGGGTTCACCTCCTACCTCTGTAAGCAATAATAGACCTTGAGTCCTCATGCTTACCAGTCTCTCCAGCATGGAAAAAGTATGGCAGGTTGAACCCCAGGGAAGATGGGATGGTCAGGGCATCCTTCAGCTCCCACAAAGAATGACCTTCATCCTCATTGCCGACCTGGGGAGGAGACAGAGTATTTTTGAACAAGCTCTGGAATGTGGTGGGTCTTAATGTGAGAAATCACTGCAGAGTGCCAACTGCATTGAAAGTACAAAGTTTTGGGTGTCGGATAAGGGGGTGATTATTTGAGGATGGGGTAGTGGGTTTTATTTGTTTTTTGGCTAATTATTGCCAGCAAAATCCTTAGCTAGAGGATTTTTGATTTGTCCACACTGATCTCAGGACAGCAGCAGCAGATCTGTCTCTGCTGTAACACATGCCATATATGCATGTAGTTGTATTTCACCTCTAGGGGTTAACTCAAAGCCACGGAAGAAATCCAGTTACCAGGTCGAAGCCTGCCAGGGTGTCTGGGAAGCGGGCTCTGAGTGCCATGGCAGTGACGATGGCTTCTTTAATCTGGGAAACATTCAGCATCCTAAAGAGCAAGAGAGAGAAAGCAGTGCAGAGGCTCGCATCCCCAGGCCTGCCTTCTTTGGGTTTGTTTGAATTGCGAACAGGGGCCCTCAGGGGTATTTCCAAAATGCAAGTTGCTCCTGAATCTGACAGCCAGCTTCAGGTCTCCAGAGTAACGGCAGCCGAAAATTGATATTATGAAAGGAAACCCCTGAATGACCAGGAAATGCCTGGCTAGACAATTCAGTCACTCGAGGTGAGGCATGCTTGTCTAAGACTCACTGGCTTTCCCATACACCAAGCAGGGAATGCAACAGCGTGGAGAGAAAAAGTTTCAATATTTTTTTCCTCTCTACCATTATGCCGAGGGGTGGGACAGCCGCTGCATTTCAACAGTGTGTTAAATTTAGCTTTCCCCCAGCTCTGTTGGACTTGAACATCACAGCGCATTTTGCAGGCAGGCTCTGTCCATACCCAAGCCGGCCAGAGGCAAGCCAGCTCTGAACTGGAAACCACGCCGTGCCGAGCCAGAGTGAGCAAGTCCTGCTGAGAGGTATGTTATATTTGCTCAGGATCACCTCACATGACTTTGTGGCATCTGGCTGACTTGGAGAGCAGCCTTGTGCCTGCCCGTGAGCAGCAGCACGAACATACCGTACAAAGGCTGCCGGGGGAACGGCGTTTGCAGGGCCCCCCGAGGATCTCTGCAGTGCTCGGTGCCCGTGCTCGGGCACTGCTGTCACTGCCTCAGCTCCCACCAGGAGGGCGAGCGTGTCTGGGCACAGGAGCTGGGGCAAGCAAAAGCCTTCCCCTTGCTCGTTCCTGCACTCAGGGGCTTGCCGTGGATGTTCATCTCCTGGGCACACGCCATGAGCTGACCCCTGGTCGTTTCACACGTACGCAGACGTATATAGATGATTTCTCACCCCCAGCCTTTACCACGTGCCAGGGAAATGCTTTAGGAGTCAAAACCCCAGGTGTGACAACATGCACAGGCATGGCTAAGCAATGGTAGCACTTCCAGCCCACCCCTCAGAAAACTGCTTCTCCTGGCACTGCCTGGACACCTTTCCCACCACCACACAGCCGTGCTCAGCCTCTACCTGTGCACCGTGAATATGATCTTTGCCCCGAGAAAGTCGGGGTGCTCCTCCACAAAGCGCCGGGCCACCTCCCGATATGTTGCCACCGACCAAGACTTATTGTGCCGAGTGCCATCCAGTTCGTACACCTGTAGGACGAAAAGCACGTGGCAAGCAGGAGTTTTGTTAGCAGGTGGGAGAAGGGAACTGAAGAAAAACCTCAGAGAAGCAGTGCTCTGCAGTCCTTGCAACGGGGCAGTAAAAAGCAGTTAAAACTGTTCAGGACGTGTTCTTCTTGAAGCATTTACTGGCTGGCGAGAAGCAAGGAGCAGTTTTCCTGTCTAGAAACACTGCAAGAAACAAGTTTCCCCATGCTCAGACACGGCAAGCAAGCGCCCTTGAGTACCCCAAGGAGGCTGCAGCCTCTGCCCCGTGTCCATATCAGATGCTGCACATTGCCCAGCCACCTGGCTGCTCACACATGCTCCACACCATGCAGGAGGAGAAGAGCAGCCCCCGGCTGTGCAAGGGCTGAGCTTCAGCTCCAGGCCAGGGCTTTCTGTCGGTCACTTAGTCTTGCCACAGTTTCCCAGTTCTCTGGCTGCAAACTGGGGAAAATAATCATTTTTTTAAGCTCTGTCTCATCAGCTTGCTTTGCGAGTTCCTCACTGGCAGGGCTACACGCAGAGTTTTGCCTGCAGGGTTCAGACCCTACATGCCCCAGCTGATACTAACCCACGTAGGCCCTGCCTGGATCCATCACGGAGGCTGAAATCACTCCATCCCCTCTCCCTTTGTCTTTCTCTCCTTTCTTTCCCCTATTTCCCTCCCCCTGCACCCTTCAGCGGTCTCAGCCCACCTTCCTGCTGCCCCTGGGGTGCTGCTGCCTCGCACTGCCCCTGGCCAAGCCCCTGTGCCCCGTCACCTCCCGGTGTCCCCTTGCCAGCGCCCAGGGCCACAGGGCAGCTGCAGATGATCACAGGGATGTTTCCACCCCTGCCGCTCATGGGAACCCGGGGCTTTGCACAGCTGAACTTGCAAACACAGCTGGGGCCAGGGGGCTTTTCAGCAATGTTTGCTGTTTTGCGCTAAATCCCAGCTTTCGTTTACTTTGGTGACTGCTTCTGGCGGGCGTTGCTGCAAGGCGAGCTTTTGCAGCACTGGTGCTGTTGTCCCAGCCTCACAGAGCCCCCGTGGCCACGCTCCCTGGCTTGGAGCATCCTGGTCAGAGAAATCACCCCGAAATAAGCTGTAGATTTAAAACAATGCATCTGTTCCAGGCTCAGTCTCTGCTCCAGCTGGGAGCTTGCTCCCAAGCAGGTACAGCACAACAGGTGGTTCTGGCGCAGACGAGGCTGAGGTGCATCTTCCCAACCAGCAAGATTAGGCACGGCTCCCAGCCAGGTGGTCCAAGGCAGTTTGTACTGGTGCCACAGCCGGTATCTTCCCTAGCCGTGAAGAACAAAGTGTCTCCCGCTTTCGAGCCCTTGAGCATGCAAATCCCCAGCAGAGACCTTTGAATACGATCAAGCTTTTCCAGCGTCCTTACAAGGCAAGGTATGCAAACATCCAAAAACTGAATTCAAGCTAGGGCTTGAGAAAAGTTTGGGAGAAATAAGGATTTAAAGGAATACTAGAGAAGCCAAAAAATACATACCGGAGGCAGGATAGCTCTTATCTCCGCATACTGTACGTTATCCTCATAGAGCTCCAGCAGCCCCTGGTAGAAGTAGGCCTTGAACACAGGTGCATAGCAGATAAGTCCAGAGGCGATGAGAAAGACTTCTTCAAACCTTTTCCAGATGAAAGTCTGGGAAGGGTAGGCCAGCTCAGGGGCATCCGTCACCAGAGTCAAGTTCCTCATCAAGCTGCAGAAAAGGGTAAAAGGAAGAGGAAGAATAAGAAGAGCAAAGTTAACTGGTTTTCAGCATGCAAAAAGGCACCAGCTGGCAGCGTGGTGTTTGGTACAGAAGGAAGTGGGATTCCTCGAGGTCGCTGTGAGTTTTGCTCTTGGAGGCCAAGCTTGGCAGATGTGACACTCTCCCATCTGCATGCTGTGGGGTGAGGTGGGGCAGCAGTGCCCAGCTGTGCTCAGGAGGGACGTGTTCTCAGGAAGCACTCAGGTCATTTTTTTGCCACCTATATTTACTCCTCATATGGCTGGCACAGATAATACCTCTATCTCTGACAGGTAAAAAGCCATAGACTACATGTCGAGCTACAAGGCAGGTAAGACTCGATGTTCAAAGTGCCCACCATTTTGAGGACAAAATCTTGAGAAGTAATGAGACTTAGAAAAGCAAGCATGGTGTTTTCATACCATAAGAATTGCACTCTGCTACCCAGCAGTATTCTTAATCCACAAGCAGGCTAATACATTACTCCTGCAGACAATATATTCTCCCAAACATTTTAAATACATCTAAGAGATTTTGACACCCGTCCCTCTGTTCACCACTAAACAGTCTCCAGGAGATGCTAGGGCCAGCACCAATGTGATTACTAACCTGTAACTCTCCCTGGTATCTTCATCTTGTCAAAAAGTGTCATCTAACATGGACAGAGGGGAAATCAGAAGTATTTTCCCCCTCTCCAGTGAAACAAACCTGGCGTCCTGCCTGCCTTGCTGGTAACTTCCTCAGGTTCATCTGCTGGGAAACAGCAGGTAGGAATCGCGGGTCCTGGCTTTCCCTCACTGGGATGGAAACGTATGTGTGTCCTTCACCGAATCTGCTGGTCTGTAAGCCTCTTTAAGAAACCCTGAGAGGCAACAGGTCATTTTATCAAGCCGAGTTTCAGGCAGGCAGCAACTGCAAGACCACATGGTTGCGGGTGCCACTGTGGTGACAGCTTGTGTTCAGGACAGGGCAACCACACGGCTGTCTGCTGACCAGACATAGCTTTCGTCCCATGCAAAGCATTGCCTCTGGCAGCAGCTCTCCTCCACTGGCCACCCAGAGAAGGGTTTGTAATAAGTTTCTCAGGCTGGGGGGCAACATCTGAATGGCAGAGCAGGGGGTGATGAAATTCATTCCTGGGTGGACAGCCTGAAGCCACTGCAGCGAGGTGTGGAGCTGGATGCTGGCAGGTGGGTGGGCCTGCAGGTCTGACCAGGCCTGATGTTTATCTAGGCTCGAAGGCTAAGCCTGTTCAGATAGAAATGCCTTTGGCCACACTTCATCTTTCGTCCAAGTCTGTTGTTTCCCTTGATAAAGCTACTGATCTTTAATAATGTTTGGTGTTTGGAGTCTTGCCCCCCGTCCTAGTGCCGTGCTTCCTCTTGCTATACGGGAGATGTGGGTTTTTTTTGAGCTCTTATTATCTTGTTCCAGAAGGCTTCTGTGGATGGGATTAAAAACCTCTCTCCCACAGACTCAAAATGTGACCTGGTCCAGACCTGTAAACTAAGACGTGCCGGGCAGGGGCATCCCTTTTGCGTCCCTCCATCCTGACCAGCTTCCCCAGCACCTGCCTGCGGGCTGCAGCTCCCCTCCCTGCGGGCCCTCTTCCAGCAGCTGTAGTTTCATTTCTTCTTCACTCAGCTAATTTCTGTGCTGGGAACAATTTCAGAAACAGAACTGAACATAAGCAAAGATATTTGTTAAGGATGAGCTATTAAATGCTAGCCAGTGAGGAAATGCAGAGTTTGGGTTCCCACAGCACCTTCAGCTCTGCCCTTCTGCGCATTACAGAGGGGTCTCTCCTGCAGTATCACACGAGGCTGGGCACCCCCGGATACTGTCCAGCAAATGATGCAACCCAATGGAGAAGCTCAGCTGTGTCCAGGGAGGGACAGGGTCAGTGCTCCATGCCGCTATGGCATGCGGCATCTCATCTGCATCGTCACATAGGGAGGGACACCAGCGCATCACCCCAGAAACCAGGAATGTGAGAGCCAGGGGCACCTCTGAGGAGCTTATCTGCCAGTAGCTTCCAGCAAGAGGGTGTGCTGGAGGAAATTTGGCGTGGGAAGAGCCAGGCTCCGCGGCAAGCCCCTAGGAAAACAGATGCAGCAGTGCCACCTGAGCCAACCATCCCGCTCCGCTCGCCCCAGCCCTGGCCGAAGGGGAGCTCCCCGCCGCTGCTCGCCCCAGCCCGCAGCACCGCGGGAGGAACCTCCCTGCAGGTCGGATCAAAAGGCCACACAAGCCCGTGCTCGCTGCCACACACAGCTTTGCCTCGGATAAGGAACGGCATCCAGCGGGGATCCCAGTGCTTTTCTCCCCGTATCCTCCAACAAGGAGCACGCACGCTGCTCCGCGCCCTGTTTTAAACTCAAGCCGCATGAACACGAGGTTGTTTACCTAGCCCGTGCTCTTGGGCTAGATACAGCAATAAATCCCCGCACCACCCTGCTCCTAAAAGCACATAAATCAAACAACATTTTTTTATAATCCCCTTTCCTTTAAGACCGATTATTGATCCCTATAACTGTTGGAGATTTATTGTGTAGTGGTGATCCAGCCTTGATAACCTGATAATCTCCTAAGGGCTCAGGCTGGTAATTTCTTTGCCACGAGGAGGTCATGCAGATGAAGCAAAGCTTCATAAAGGCATTTCTGCTTATTTTCTGGAATGGGCCCTAGCCAGTGATCAGGTGCAGACTACAAATAGCCTCCCATGTCATGTCATATATGCAGTGAACAATGCTATTGCAATGCGTATGCCCAAAGGGGCACAACGAAAACGACCAGCTAAGGATTATTTATTTTCAACCATGCTTTTGCTTTTCTCTTTTCCTGCTTTCTTTTCTCTTTTGCTTTCGTGCACAATATAATGCAAAAGCGAACGGTTTCTTGTCTTGTTTTTACGGAGTATCTTTTTCCTGCTTCTTTTCCTATCCTCTATGGGTAATTATACCCCGCTCCTCGCCATAGTATCTGAATGTCTTCCAGTGGTGCATTAAATAGTGTGACTAACATCTGTCACATGTGGTTCATTCGCTTCCCCTCTCTCTCTCTTCCCCTATTCTTCTCCCCAAGGGGAGACTTGTAGAGGGAGCGGAGTGCTTTGTCTCTGTGATGGGGTTTTTAATATATTTTGCGCACTGTGCCTACTGCCCTATTTTCCCGTTAGATAAGGCAGTCGGAGGACACGGAGGGGAAGGTGGTGGAGGTCCACTGCTGCCTGGGGACTCGGCCAGCCGCAGTGTCAGCTCGCTCGCAGATGACTTCATCCTTGCGACAGGGAGCGCTGCCACCGCGGGAGCCACGCTGCGGGGCACGGCCTCCATCCCCGGGCGATCGGGGCAGGGGTGGTTTTACAAATATCTGGAGTGTCAGTGCTGCTTCCCTTAAATATCGGGGGTCACGCTTATTGGGAGCCCTCGCTTTAGAGGCTGTGGCAATTATGTTGCTCCTTGAGGAAAAAAACGGCGTTCTCCTGGATCATAATTGGTGGCCAAGTAAATAAGTGAGGATTTTTTTTTTTTAACTCTCAGAGCAAAGTTTCCTGCCTTTCTCTGTCTCCTAACCCGTGGTCTCTTGACTCTCTTAATAGCATCCTTTTGGAAGGTTACCAGTAAGAGGATACTCCAGGGCCTTGGCCCATAGGATTTGTGTTTTGGATATGAATGATAAAACCTTCTTTTGAGGCGAACGAACACAAAGACTTACTTCCAACACACGCACTCACATATACATATAAATGTGTGTGTTTATGTGTGTATATATATATAAATATACAAACAGCAAAAACGTGATGTGGTTATCTCCTTCCCTCTTGCCTTCCCAGTCAGGAACATGGTACGGTAAGAGAGGTGCAGCCCCTGGGAAACATTTTCATTGTTCTCTTCGTGTTTGCTGATCCACGCTATCCTGTTTGAGAACCCTTCCCTGCTGCCATACTCCCTCGATACTTCCTTGAAACCACCCAACTATCCATCCGTTCCTCCCTCTGACATCTGCTTTCTCTCAGCTTGTCAGTGCTCAAGGGCAAAGAGGAGTGCAGGAAAAGAGGTAGCCTGGGATGCACATGTTCAAGAGACTGGGAGAGTTTCCAGAAACTGAGAAGCAGAACAGATTGGGGCCGATTCCTGGCTAGAGACCTATTTCCAGGCAGCCAAAAAACATTCCTAACCCTTAGACTAGTACCCAGGGATTAGATGAAAATAGGAGGGGAAGAGCCTCAACGTGGCTGGTGTTCCTGTGTTTGCACATTATGTGCAATGACTCCTTTGCGATTCTGTGGTGAGCACAAAAGGGCAAGAAATGAAGGACAACATAAGTAGGTAAGTCTGAGCGCCCAGGATGTAAGAGATCTAGGTTTGTACTTCGCTCTGGAATTCATTTGCTGAGGAAAATCCGTTCATTGTCCTTTGCCTCAGTTTCCCCTCCAGCCCTTTGTAAGATCTTTGAAGCTGTGTCTGTGTTGTGTCTCAGAAGTCCTGCTCTGACCTGTGGCATCATCAGATAAATAGTACAAAAGAAGAGGAATGGGATAACACTGCTTCTGTGAAGAAGTCACGTTCCCAAATAGGACTATTGGGAACAAAGCCATGCACAGCCCCACCCTCACAGGAGTACAGGTTGCCATGGCCTCTAGCCTCGGCCAGGAGGAGATGTCACACTACATAAATACAACCAAAACCAAACACAGCGATGGGTTGCTCCTGACAAGGGCCTCAAATGCCCAGTGCAATTGCTTGTGTTTTAAGAAAGCGAAGCTGTTTCAACATCTAATCTCTTGCACATTATTTATGGGTCTCTTGGTGGGGCTGAAGAGTGCTGGTGCCATGGTCTTTCCTCATCGCTCCCAGTAGGAATGGAAGGGAGATAATGGGCAACCGGTTTTCTCTTTGAAAGAAGTGACTTCTTGCTGGATCTTATTTCTTCCATCCCATGTCACAGCAGTAGTCCTCAGCTTCCCAGCCCGACCTCCTTCCTAGACCCGCAGGGCACGGAGCCCAGACCGCTTCCACGTGCAGGCGGTACCAGAGATAAGAGGTCTCAATTTAGAAGCACACATGCACGTGCTCTCACTGCACAGCCCAAACATGAAGTTTCTCTTAGGAAATGCCACAATTAGGGTCACCCTCATCACCTTCATCCCGCCTTCTCCGTGTGTGTCAGCATCACGACACTGATTTAACTACCTTACACCGCACGCTATTTTTTTTTTTTTTCCACAGGACCCCAGCCCCCCGGAGCTCGGCAGACAGCGGTGCTCTCTGAACAGATCACAACTCAATATTTTTCTTTGTCCTCATCACTCAGTGTCTGACTTCATGCATTATTTAGTGCATGCTATCAAGCCCCCGAACGCAGCGCAGAACCACACGCTTCCCCCTGGCCTTTCAGCAGGGCTTTGTCACGGGATGAATGGCCCCTGGACGGGGAGATAGGGCTTGGTCTTCCTGTCACCACCGTCTGGAGGGGGAGCCAGGCTTTTCCCACCCACCTGCAAGTAATTAAATGCCGGGTGGCTGCTGGGCAGCCAGCTAACACCTGGTCCTGATAAAAGGCTGCCAGCAGTTGGGGTAGGAGCTGCCTGCAGGGAGGGAGCTCCTGCAAGATGGAGGGTGGTGCCTTGGGGAGCAGTCTGGGGTGTGAGCTCCTAGGTGGCTCTGGGAGGTCTGCTCCCACTTAAACCACTGTCTTTAACGTGTCTGGGCAATGGACCACAGCGAGAATGCACAGAAAACCTAAATGCTTGCAGCCTCAAATTCTAGTGTCCTTAATGCTCCAGCCTTCAAGTTCTTATGCTGTTATTTGCTTGCTCTGTGTGCACAACTTTAATGGGGCTCCCTGCTTCCAGAGCAGCAAGCAAACGGGGGAGTTGGACCAGAACAATCCTGCTGGCCTGGCAGTGGTACCACAGAGTGCTGCCAGGCTCGCACCTCGTGCTTGCTCACCTGTTGTCAAACTCAGTCACGTTGTGCAGCTGTTTTCGGTAGGTCTCCAGCAAAACCCACTCGGAGCACTGGGCTGGCACTGGGTGAGGAGGGTGAGGCCTGGAAAACCGAAAGCGAACGGTGCCTGTGCGGGTGAAGCACACGTAGCAGTCCGGGAGGTAGGTGGCATTGTGCACCAGCCAGTCCACGCTCAGCATGGCAAAGTCGTGCAGGTGTAAGACGGCACCTGGGGAGAGGAGAAGCGATCCTATTGAGACAAGGCGGTTGGATTAGAAGAAAGGAGGCGTAATGTGATGAAAGCTTGAGTTTGCCCAGCCCAGTGCATCTGGAGATGCTTCCAAATGGCTGTGACTGACCTTTCCCAGCAGAGATTGCCAGGGCAGGCAGAGCATGATGGCTCCCTGGAAGCAAAAGGGGGATCAATAGGGAGCTCTGCTTCCTGCTGGGATGGAAAATGCTCGTTCAGACTGGTGTTGCTGAGAGCTGGCTCCTCTGTTTTAAAGAGGTGCTCTCACAGTGAGCATCAGCCTACAAGGTGGGCCTGGGGCAAGCCTCTGCATCTTAGCTGGCTTGCTCCCAGCCTCAATTCCTGCATCTGGTCTGTGTCTTCCTTCCTCTCTGAAACTGTGGCATGCACCAAAATCACAGACCATGCCACAGTGGGGAACTGCAGTCAGATAGAGAAGTAGCACCCACCTCTCTCTCTTACCAAATGCATGTTTACTTAAATTTTGCAACTGTTGCTGGCCAGCACTGTGGGCTTTTGGGATGCTCTGTTGCTGTGTGGTGTGTTGGCCAGTCTTCCTGGCATAGGAAGCTTCTGCATGCTCACCTTCCCCAGCCCATCCTTTCATTTTGGTGAAATTTTTATTCATTTATTTATTTATTTATTTATTTATTTATTTATTTTTGCAGAGATTTTTTTATGCTATTGGTGCTTGAACTAAATTTCTCCCTTGTAAAGGAAAGAAGCTGAGAACTCAAGCCTCACAGGTATGTGCTTTATTAGTCTAAGGGACATGTCATAATCTAAATAGTTTTAATGCCCTTAGGAGTAAAGGGAGAATATGACTAACAGGAACACTAAGTGCTGATATGCATATGACAAGACTCTAATCTACAGGAGACTAATTTATAGTGTCTATAATCTCTCACTGTAGAGGGTCTGACAGCTAAGATGCTGAGCAACTGTAAATGCTGCTCTGACCAGAGCAGGAGGGACAGGACGGGCATGCCACAGTTGTCTGGATCCTCCTACCACTTGCAATACGGCCCTTTTCCCTTTGTGAGGAGCAATAGAAATGGCAATAGTGCTTGAAACCAACAGTAATCACTAGGAGCTGCGATCAAGACTGAGGTCCTTCTCAAGCAATTACAAGGACGTGATCTTGGCCCTAGAAGCCTACAGTGCTTGCAAAGATTCTGAGAACTATTTTACTGCATTCTGGGTTGAAAGGTGTTAAATTCTTGCTTTGATTCCTCATTAGTATCAAAGATATCCCCTTTGAAGCAAAGAGGGAACTACTTTTCAATTCCTTACTCAGCAACAAAGGGATTCAGACAACTCTGATATCCTAATCAAGTATGATAACTGCTCAGGATGCTGCAGGTCAGGGAGCCTCATCCCACACTGGAAACTGGGAGGGAAAAGCTGGGTGGTAAGCAGGACAGCTCTTATGTGCTGGTGTCACAGCCTGGCAAATGGAAAGATCTGGCAGTCAGCTTCACCATGCAAGAGTTTTTCAAGTGAGTCACCAACTTGTTCCCAGGCAGCCATGTGGGCAAGGTCATGGGACTCAGCATCTAGGAAGGGACCGACTGGAAAGGTGGATATGTTGTTCAGCCATATGGAGGTATGGACAGCTTTCACTGCAGCTGTCTCTTACGTACAGTTAAAGAAGGCACCTTGTTCAGTGCTTCTGTCTGAACCAGAGATGCAGAGGGAGAAAGCAGCCAGCCAGGAGTCAATGACTTTCTCCAGCAATTACCTCAACCTCTCCACTGAACTGCCAGCAGCTCAGACATGGAGACATTGGGCTTGCTGCTGCAACCCAGTTTAGGTGGTTTGGATTTGCACTTGCCTAAAACATCCTCTCCTCTCTCCCTTTCCAGTGCAACCCAGAGAAGTGAGCCTTTGAATGCTGCTGTATCCCAGGCTGCCTGTCAGAGGATGCACAGTACAGCGTGTTGAAGGCACTGGACAATCTCATGCTGTTATCGAAGGTAAATGGTTCCAAAATGTGTTTAAAACTAGTGTGTGCTGCAGAGTATAAAGACTCTTCTGGTATAAGGCACGGCAGCCCATCATCGCAGAGCATGCTGAGCAACGAGGGAGAGGCAAGGTCTCAAAACTAAAGACAGAAGGACTAACGTCTGCCTTTATAAGCAGAAGTCTCCTGCAAGTGCACAGAGCAGAGCCTGGTTAAGAAAGCTATTGTATTCTCATAGTCTTTTGTGTTGTATTCTGTGGGTCACATAACACAGGCTCTGACTTGTATTCAACAAGGAAAAATCGTGCAGTATTAGGGGCAGCACCTTCCTCCTCTAGTGCCTGCAGTCTTTCGGGTGCACAGAACCACCTGCGGAAAAACATGTTGGGGTATATGGCACTGCCAGCTGAGATGTGGGATAAGGTAAGGTTGGTAGCGTGGCTGTGGTGTGTGTGGATGAAGGAAAGGCCCTGGCTAAAACATGCTGAACAAACATGGATCTCTGTGGTATCTTGTCTTCACCTCCTCTGCCCTTGCCTCACTTTTCAAAGGCTGAAAGATGCACTTTGCAAGTCACACTAAACGTACAATTGCTGGAAACGTGTATTCATCCAGCCCACAGCCCTCTTCCTCTCTCCCCCTGCCCCCAGCTGAGATGCAGGGCTCTTCCTGCGACCCAGCCGGCACTACTCCCAGTCCGTGGGCTTGCCTGCAGAGGTCTGCTGCGTCTTGCTCTGGTGTAGGAAGCAGAAGGCAAGAGGAGGGTGAGTAAGATGAGCAACTGTTAAGGCAACGCCTACCTTTTGGCATGTGCTTCAAGATGCTGAACACCGCACTCTGGTCAATGAGGCTCTTTGCCCGAAAGAAGTGCATGCTCGGTGGGAACTGCCCCGTGTTCATGGCTGCTGCGACCTCCTTCTTCTTGAGGCTGACGAGCTTTGTGCTGAGCTGCTGCTCCTCTTTGCTCAGCACCAAATTGCCGCCTGTCTGGTGGGCTTTCTCCTCCTCCAGCAGGGAGTCTCGGTTCTCCCTGAGCGGGGTTGGAAGGCAGAGGGAAGCCAAATTCAGGAGAAGGCATGCCAGCCTTATGCTCTGCCCAGATGGAGGCTTCATCTTGGAGCTGCACCTGGTGTGTGTGGGGAGGGAAATCAGTGTGTTAGCATAAGCCAGGAGGTGACATCTTCCCAGTGACCCGCTGGCACACAGAACTGCTGGCCCAGCCTGCAGAAGTGGGTTAACTGGGTGCTCAGTGGGGGGAGCATCTGGTGGTGATGTCCCCAGTATGCAGGGTCTGTGTTCACACCCCAGTGATGCTGTCTGCGTGGAGCAAGGCTGTGGGCAGGGTGAGAAGATACAGCACGTCACACAGAGCTGCGGGGTGGGGAAGGTCCAGCCCTGGGAGCATCTACCCGGCTATCAGAGGGGTCAATCTGCAGGCAGAAAGCCCCAGTGCAGCCACAGGGGCATGTCCCTTCCTTGCTGTCCTGGAAGAAAGGGAGAATATGGGAGCAGTAAGGGATCACAGGAGGCAGGCACATGTGAACTTGGAGAGCTCTGCGCTTCCCAAAAAAGCACAGCTGCAACATAATCCTTCAATGCCAGGCTTCAGTGACCCTCCACGCCCATCCCTCCAGACCAAAGCGGGCTGGAAAAAGACTGACTGTTTTGGAGCTTTTCTGCATGTATCCCACATCATCTCCCCGCTTGCACGCATGCCCCCAGCTCCCAGCCTCTCCCGCTGGGATGCCTCCGTCCCGGGGGAGCAATCTGCCAGGCCTGGCTCTGAACCCAGAGCAACAGCCACCCCGAAAGGCGTTATCTTGTCCCTGGGCAGGCTGACTCACTCACAGACAGCTCTCCTGCTCCTCGCATCCAGCGTGCAGGCAGCAGGGCAGGGTTATCGTCTCTCCGGCCAGCCGGCGCGGCCACGATAAGCAGCAGGCTGCGTCCCGGCGAGGCAGCGCGCGGAAAGTTCCTCTTCCTGTGCTGCAGTTTCAGCTTGCTCAGCTTTTATTTACCCGCGCCCCACCCGCCGTCTCCCTGCTGCTTCATGAATATATAAAGAGGGGGGAGGCCGCGGGGAGGCCAGCAGAAAGCGGGGCGCAGGCGTGCGGCAGGCCAAGGCAGCGGGGTTGCCCACCAAGCTGCTGTAGCGGTGGGCTCGTTAACCCCTCCCTGCCAAGAAAGCGGGGCTGGCCTGGGCAGACCCTCTGCACACTATGAAATGCCTCCATGGCTTTTAAATATCCTCCTAGAAACTCTTGGACACCTGTTCCCAACACAGGGATATCCACCATGCTGCCCCAGCTTGGCTCCTCTGACCTAACACAGAGCGCCACGTGTGTAGTGCCAACAGCACTGCAAGCTGTACTCAATGCTTTTTTTACCTGAAAAAAAAAATATAATTATCTGCAAAAGTAGTTGTAAGTGATTTTGCCTGCTCTCTGCCAGCTGTGCGAAGCAGGCTGGCCTCAGCCCAACCAGACTCACCAGGGCTGCATTTGTCATGCAGGCTGGGGGGTGACATCAGGTGTGGGGGAGTGTATGCACTGATTTTTCTGAAAAATCCCAACAAATATTGTGATTTCACCATTTTATTTCGCGCAGTTGAATGGACTGAGCTTTAAAGTTATTTGAAACAGATGTTACATAAACAGCTTCCAGTGGAGAACAAAGTCCAGTTGGTTTAATTTAATCCAAATTCTACCTATTTTAATTTTTTAATAATAAGAAAGATATTGTAAGTCAAGAGCAATTGAAAGCAACCTGCAGTAATCAGAGACGCTGGTTCCAAGGCACAGAAAGCCGAATCCGGTCAGTAACACGTGCTGTTCCATCAGCTGGCACCGCTGCAACAGATCCAGTCACAGGGTGCACAGGTCCCCCAGCACCCCAGTGGGATGCCCATGATCTCTTCCTGCCTCTTCCGATCTGCTCACCCTTTGCTGTCATCAACAATAACCCTGATGGTAAATATAATAATAATAATAATAATAATAATAATAATAATAATAATAATAATAATAAATAATAATAACATGATTGTCTGTTTCTGTCCATGCAGTCAGAGTTTCGGCATGTCCAGAGGGTGGCTGTGGGGTGCCCCCTCCAGCAGGACAGGGTTTTTCTGGAGCCTGGAGGTGCTGCTGCTCTCCACGGGAGACGAGAGGAGCAGCAGGACAGCCCAGCCACTCGATGCTCTGCAGCCACCACCAGCTGATTTAAACAACCCAAGGGTGAGAGGTTTGGGGCAAAGGACGGGGAGTGGGAAGGGATGGTTTGGCAGAGACAAGTGTTCTGCCTGTAAATGCCTTAGAGGAACAATATAAAGGAAGGAAGGGAATTGCTCGAATTATCTCAGAGCAGTAAAGCCTGGAGCTGGGGCCATAAAACTAAATTCAGGCGAGGCAGTTGGAAAGCTGTCTGTGGTGAGAAAGCGGGCACTGGAGACAGGTTGCAGGGAAAGAGCATGGAGAAGGGTTAAAATGCCGTGCGAAGGGCCGTAAGCAGCAGTTGATAGCTGGGCGGCAGTCTTAGAAATGACTGCCAGGGCCTCAGACATTTGCCTGTTTTGCAGCAGAGGCTCATCCTGTCAAAGCGAGTTGGAGAAACAAAGCTGATGTCCAGTGCTAGAACACTTCTTTAATGGGGCTTAGCCACGTAAGCAGCCGCAGCCACTGCCAGGAGCGTGCTGCACAGATGTTGGAGCACTGCGCCGAGGAACAAGAAGGTGCTTGGGATGCTTCGCTCAGCCTCCCCGGGGACTGAGGTGTGGTGGGGGAGGGCTTGTCCCATGTCAAGCTGGGTTCAAAAGCCCCTCTCAAAGCTTCTGTGGGTACGGCAGTGTGAGATGCTCCTTAATGCCCAGCTGCACATCAGGTGCATGCGGGGCTTTAAATAGCCGGGGGCCACCACGCAGTGCTCGCAGTGAGTTCTCCCTGCTGCAGTTTCAATTCTGTACACCAACCAGTTTCTTTTAAACCTCCTGAGTGTCTTTGACGCTCTCCTCCCCCGTGTCTCCCCACGCTCCCTCCTGCACCCTCCCAGCCATTTGCACATCTGGCTGCTTGCTCCCACCCTTCAGACCCTGGGGTGCAGGCAGAGGGGAAGGACCACAGGCAGCAGCAGCGCTGAGCTCATGGACTTGTGCTTCCCACTCCATCTTCCAGCTCAGTCCATCACACAGTGCTTTGCAGCATCCTACGAAGTCCAACCTTCTGCTTGCTGTGTGCCACTGCAGTTACCTTCCCCAAATTAAGGTCCTACAGCACATTTAGGTGATTGCAAAAGCTACAGTATGACAAATCCAGCCAAGGAGTGGACCAGGGGCAGCACAGACACAGCTGTTTCCTGTGTGGGCAACGTGTTTTGCGCAAGCCAGATCCAAACCAGGGAGTATGTCTGATAGCCCAGAGGGTCGGGGTACCTCACAGCTCCTTAGCCCTCCTGCATGTGCTGACATCAAAGTTGTGTGATGGAAATATCACAGTAAGGTCAGGGAGAGGAGGTCGGCACTGGGAGATGTGCTCCCAGCTCTCTGGTTAGATATCCTTTCCATGCCAGCTGCCTCGTTTGTAAAACAGGAGCAGTCACCTCCCTAGCTACCCTGCTTGATCACAGCACTGATTACTTACCCTATCTGCTGGTGAAACCGCTGCACTCCTGCAGCCTGTGGCCAGATGACCGCAGTTTTAAAGCCAGTAGGCGCGATGGTCTGCCTGTAATTCTGAATGAAAACTCTGCAGTGGGACGAGGAGGTGGAAGATGGCTGTGTGCGAGCAGACGGTGCTGAACGGGGGCAGCCTGGGGAGAGCATGCTGCTGGCACCCCATCCTCCCTGCTAGAGCTGGGAGAGCCCCCGGGACAGTCCCTGCTCCCAGCACACGGTCTCCAGCCCCCAGCTGATGCCTGTGAATGCTCGTGACATGCAAAAGTGCTAAGTGCTATAAATTGTTATTAAGAATAGACCAGCCCAGATTGTTTGGGATGATTAAAATCTCCCTACTGGCCTGCTAAATAACCTCAGCTTTGGTCTGGCTGGGCACATGTTGGTATTTGTTTTTTATTTGCCTTTTTTTTCCCCTTTGTGCCCAGCCAGGCAAAAATATGGGCCATTTACCAGCCAAGCGAGGAGGTCAGTTGGAGACCAGCAGCAGAGGGGAAGCTGGGCTGCTGTGGGTCATGCTGGCAGCATTGCTCCCCAGCCTACAGCCAAACCCAGCTCACCCACGAGGTGCCCCATCCGCATTCAGGAACTTGCCTTCCCCTTAGCTGCTCAGCCATGCCTCTGTCCATCTGTCCTTCCTTCCTCCTCAGCTACACCTGCAGCTCTCTGATGATTTAAAATGAGTAAGACTCTCAAGATGCCCCAAGAGCTGGGTCTGGTAATGGGGAGAGCCAGGGAAAGATCTCAGCTCCCAGGTTACCGATGAACCACGTGGGGAGTGGAGTCATTGATTTGTAATCACTGCCTGCCTCCCAAACAGAATAGCCGTGAATTCCTCTGATCAGCCACTGAGACGAGCAGCTCTGGGCTATTCCCAGCACAGGCACAAGAATTCAGCTCTTGCTCACAAGAGCAGGTCACACAGCTCCGGCAGCCCCGTGGCTTTATTGATGCTAGCAAGTGGCGCCGGCAGCACTCACCTGCACGCAGGCCAGCCCAGCACTGTGCTGCTGAGCTGGGCTCTCCAATAAATTGAGTCTCTTATTTGGATTCTCTCCCTCTTCTGTCTATTAGGAGCAAAAATGAGCACAGACCAGGCAATGGAAACATCCTGGGTTACCAAGGGTACACCAGCTCTCCTGCCTGCCTTGGGGTGTCTGTCCATCACTAGGCTGCGTTGCCTCCCACAGATCAGCTTGGTTTTGAGCGGCCTAGTCCTAGAATAACACACAGGGCAAATTTTTCTTCCTAAAGGCCATAGTCCATCTAAACATCCCCTCACTCCCTGCCTCCTACTCTATCCACCTGGCTTTCAAACCAGGGCCTGCTCTCTTCTCTGCCTCCCCATCTCATCAACCACCCAAAGCAAACCACACCTCTGCCCAGACTCCTCATCCTGCCCTGTGCCACCGGGGTCCTTCACACCGTAGTGCAGAGAGCTGAATTTGTCCCTGGTCATTCTGCAGCTGTGTCACCTCGGCCAGGACACCCAGTGTCTCCACAGCCTCAACCATCCCCTCGTCTCACTGTCTCTCAATTTCTCTGCATCCATATCACCTGTGTTGCTCCGCCATCAAGTGAACTCCAAGCCCGATCAGGAAGAAACACAAGGCCTTGGCCATGGCACACCCTTGGTTTCTTTTTCTCCTGCGCATGAGGCAAGCAAGGCCACATCTAGAGCAGGTGTATATTGCAAAATTAACAGCAGTGAGGAGCTCCTGAGTTAGTCTGAGTGCTCTCCCCAAAGTGTCTGTCTTGTAGCCAAGCTTTGTCCTGCCTAGGCAATCCTCCAGACTTTATTAAAGCCTCGAAATGTCAAAACAAGGCTTCTTCCTCATTCCCTTTGGAAGTAGCTCCACAGACCCTCACAGCAAATGCAGACGCTGGCCTCAAGCCAGCTAGCGCTAGCAGCACTGGCGTAAAACATCAGCCCCCGGGGCATTTACCCAGGGCAGCAGCACAGAGCCATCCATATTGCTGTCTCGAGCAGCAGCACCTGAGCACCACGGCTCAAAGCAAGGCAAGGGGCGCTCACCACAGCAAACATCACTTGTGTAGGGCACATGCCGGCCCAGCTGCTCGGGATCAGTACAGAAAAAGCTCAGGGCATTTCCTGAATGCCTCTACTTGTTCATCCTGTTCTTCAGAGGGGTTGTGGCCCAGCTCGTAGCACTTTGCTTCTTATCCCCTGGCACCTCCCAGCCCTGTCTTGCAGGTGCAATAGGTGCAGTCTTACCTTCTCCTAAATTGCTACGTCACCTTGGTGTTTCACTGAGGCACCATAGCACCGCCTGCACCACCACAGCGAGCACGGAAGTCCTCCGTGCTCCCATCCCGACGAAGGCAAAAAGAAGGGGACGAAGCCCACAGTCGCTTCTGGAAGCCCCTTAGCAGCAGGATGCAACATGACCTCACAAAATGAGGCACCAACAGAGGCTTGGAGGTTATGTTGTGCTGGGTCTTCAAACAGCTCGTGCCTTTGGATAGGCAGGTCTTTTGGGTAGGTCTGGTGACCGCAGCCACCCCCAGCCAAGGGTGCTGTCAGCGCCAGACAAGCCCCTGATGACAAGATGGATCCCAGCTCGGGTCAGGGGTTCACGTCCACAGGCCGAGCTCTGCATAAGGGTCCGTGGCACGGGCATGGCTGCAGCACGGCTGCGACATAACCCAGGTGGGGACCAAGCTGAGACCCTCAGCTTGAGAGAGAGCAGCAGGACAGGCCCCCGGCAGGGCTTTTGAAGAGAGCTCTTAAGGAAGACCAGACACCTACACCATTACCTAGGCCAGCCCTGAGCCCAGGGGCCCTGCTGCTCACTGCCACACTGTGCCAGATATAGATGCCAGGGGTTCGTGCATCTGCTGACAATCTCCAGACCCAAGCACCACACCACCACAAACGCCCACGAGAGCAGCAATGGGCAGTTTTAAAGAAATGTCCCAGCAGCAGCTGGCTGGGATGGGGCCATGCTGTAAGCAGGCTGTGCACAGCACCCTCCTCTTCGGTTCTGCCTTCCTGAACAGCACTGGACCCTGCTGTAACACAACCTGAGGCAAACAACACAGCAAAAACTGGGGATGTTGTTTTCACCAAGCCTTGCTTCTGAATTTTTATCCTCTTGTTTTTGATCTGGGAGTAGCCATTTAAAGCTGGCTGTCATTTCTTTTCCGTGTCTGTGGGCTTTCAGCAGCTTAGAGCGCTGGTTGCCTGCCCCTTTGTGCAAGGCAGAGATAAAGGCCGGGTAACACTGATGCTGCCTCCCTATCTCCTCCTGAAGGCAGAGGGCAGTGGAGGGAGGGGTGGGTTGTAGCCTTACAACAAGCACTGGGTCCTCACTAAGACCGGCACCTTCTGCTGCTCTAAAGATCTTCCTAGAATGGAAAGTTGCTGCAGAAAAAGGCAGTGAGTAGAGAAGTTGTAAACGGCATAAAAAATATCCAAGTTTTAGCAAAGTTTTGAAACAGTGCAAGGGACAGAAAGCAGCATAGTGCATAGGAATGAGCTGTGCTTTACATATGCACTCATGCGCCTCCTTATGCTAAAAGTGTTCCTCATTTCACTGTAAACCAAGCTGAACTTCTACCTGACTCCAGTGCTTCTGACAGTTTCTGTTTGTTCTTCCTATTGTGAGCTGGACCAGAACCGGGTCCTCTCTGCACCTCTCTCAGATGCTTAAAGTCCACGGTAGGAGGCAGGAAGGTTAAGCAGAATTCAGCTCCTTCTCAGGCATTCTCTGAGTAGAAGAGGTGCAAGCAGCCACCAGCAGCCTTTTTGGACTCTTCTGTAGGACTGAGGTGAAGATCACAGAATCACAGAATCACAGAATTTCTAGGTTGGAAGAGACCTCAAGATCATCGAGTCCAACCTCTAACCTAACACGAACAGTCCCCACTAAACCATATCCCTAAGCTCTACATCTAAACGTCTTTTGAAGACTTCCAGGGATGGTGACTCCACCACCTCCCTGGGCAGCCTGTTCCAATGCCTCACAACCCTTTCAGTAAAGAAGCTCTTCCTAACATCTAACCTAAAACTCCCCTGGCGCAACTTTAGCCCGTTCCCCCTCGTCCTGTCACCAGGAACATATCAAGATGTATCAAGGCAGGGACATAGGAGGGACAGCAATATGAGAAGTTCAAAGATCTGAGCTCCAGTTGCCAGCACAGGGACTGGGGCCAACGGGGATACACTGGGGAACACTGGGCTCTCCAGCTGTGCCACCTCCTAGGTCCATGATGGAAATTAGTGACTGAAGCTCAAGGGGGCACACCTGAAGCAAAAACCCTGCTGCCCATGCTGAGGAGGCAGGACAAGTCCAGTGTAGAGATTACATTGTAATTAAAACTTAATAACAAGTGGCATTTATCGATGAGTTGTATTAACCTTGTCTAAAGCCATTTGGACAAATTAAAGCTCCGTGAGGTATTTCCCTGCCACATGAAAAGCAGCAAGGCACAAAACAGATCAATATCACTGGCCACCCTTTCAGGGTGCCACTTCACCTGCATCCTCCTCCCCACTGCCTTCAGTCCCTATGGCCACCACGGGGCTGGCCGGGTGGTTGGAGGGGGGACAAGTGGGCACCTTGAAAGGAAGGCTCAGGGTGGACAAGGGTGATGAGGACTCAGAACAGTAGAAGCAGATGAACTTTGGGTTTTGGGTTGGATCACATCGACTCTTCCTCTCCTCCAGCACTTTATTTTTGCCAGATGTCAGCATGGCAGTCAGGGACAGAAAAGCTTCCCGCAAGTAGGAGCAAGGAAGCACACCAGCTGAAGAAAAACTGCCCCAAATCCACAGCTTTGATAAGCAGGGCTTGCATCACTAGAAGCTTTTGTTGCTTTAATTATAGCTTTTAATATGGTCTGTAAAAGTGTTTTCTGAATCCCACTAAGACTCTCAGTCTCCATCGCACACAGGAGAGGCAAGATCCATGGGCAAAATGGGAGCGGTGTGAAAGAATATTGCCTTTTATTGTTCTGCTACTATTTCTAACATCATTGAGCATCTCTGGATTTCACGCAATGAAAGAGGGAGATGAGTTTTCAATGATTTTTTTCAAGCTTCTCATTCTTTTACGGAGTTTGATCAAATTGCAGCCACAGAGGAGGGACTTTGATGCAGCTATGTCTGGGGAGGAAAATGCCTTTGTTTTTGCTGCATGGTTATACTTCCTATTTGTATTCAGAGTCACAAATCCTCTGTCTCAGGACAAAAGTAAGTTCCTGATGCTTTCCCCATTCCCACACCTCAGTTTTGCCTGGTCTCCCTCGCAAAAGCAACACCAGTGTAAGAGGTTAATTATGAAGGGTGTCTAGCAAAATCTGCCATGCTGATAAAGGCACATGAAGCGGAAAACCCCACTAAAGTCTCAGGCCTCTCGTTTATTTTGCAGGGTTGCAAAACACAAGAATTGAGGAAATGTGGTCCAGAGTAACTGAGAGGCAGATGTGGAACCCCGGGATGCCAGTGCTACAGACTCGCTTTTCAGGCGAGAACAATACTTTAAAATGAAAAATTCATTACCCAGATCTGTGAAAAGCAAATGAAGCTCAGCCTTTCCTAACCTTGACATTTTCCAGACTGCTGGCCAAATCCACGGGTAGGACACAGGCACGCCCCCCGCCCCCACCCTTCAAAGGGATAGCCGGTGACAGGGAATGGCTTTCAGATGTGACTTAACTTCTCTGAACCGGTCATGACACCACCCCGTCCCAGCACACAGAGCGCTGTGCATCCACACCTCTAATTGCCAGACCTGGAGGTAAAGCTTTGCTGCTCCGAGCACGCGTTCCCTGGAGACAGAGAGCAGAAAAGGAGTGGGTGAAAGCAGAGGGCAACCACAGTGAGTGCATTCGGCAGAAGGCCATTTGCATGTCGCCAGTTGCCACCCCACGTAGCCACCCGGAGCTGTTTTTGCAGCCAGGTTCTGCTCGCTGCCTCGGGGGTGTTCTTCGCCCCTGTCCCCCCAGCTCTGCGTGCAACCTGAAGGTTTCTGCCAAAGGACCTTGGCGTGCGGGTCGCCTTTCAAATGCTCGCTTCCCTGCTGGGTAGAGGCTCTGCAGATGGTGAGGACGGAGGCTGTGAGCCTCTCGGCTCCAAAGCGCTCCAGTGAGTGGTATTCCCCGAGCCCCGCTGATGAAAGGCACAGATGTGCCTGCAGAGGAGCGGCTCTCCGTGCACGCCGCGGTCCCCAGAGCCCTCTTCAGCTGGTTTGATGTCTAAGTGGAAGGGAAGAAAATAAGCTGACAGTGGGGTTACCACCCGGATGATTTGCTGAATTGATTAGCTGCTTCTTTCCAGGGCTCGCACCCAGACAAGCAGCAGCCTCGCTGGGGCTCGCCGGCCAAGTAATGACCTGGGCGAGGAGCGCTCTGGAGAAGGACCGGCCGTAATGATGTGCTGCTTCCCTGGGCAAGAAACAAAGGAAAAGCCCGGGGAAAATAACGCACAGGGAAGTAAACACCAGCGAGAACGAGGCAAGGGAAATGCAGCTTGTGCGAGACAGAGCCAAAACAAGCACCCTCCAGCAGCAGCTGGTTTGGACACCAGTTAGTGTGCAAGGGGCTGGGCAGGCAAAGGAGGAGAGCCCAGCTGCAGGTGTATGCACACCCCGTCTCTCTGTCTGTCTATCTTTCTGTCTGGGGTGTGCAAATGGGATTGAGACAGGGCAGGGGTGCCGACCCCAGCAGCCGTATCAGGGCTTGCTGGGCATCACCCTCTGTTTTTGGGGGGCAGGCTCTGCTTTCACGGGTAGGAAGCACCCTGCTATGGCCAGCAGGTAGCTGCACCACAGGCAGGTGGGTGGGTGAAGCTCCTCCTGGCCTGCCTGCTCTTGGGACCTGAAAGCGCCCTAAGCAAAGCTTGAGCTTGAGGTGCCTCTGGGCACAGAGGGGGCGGCCACCAGCTGGCCGAGGTGACAGGGGGACAGCTCAGCTAGGCACCGCAGAGGTGATAAAAGGGAGAGTTTGGGGAGTGGGAAGACATAGGAGAGACTCCAAAAGATTGTGCTCATTTGGATCAGATACTGAGCATCTAATGTGTAAGGGGAGCAAATGGCCCAGCCTTCCTAATCTTGTGCTCCTGCCTCCTCCTGAAACCCCAGAACAATGCGGATTAAGAGAGGGAGGGAGAGAAGGGTGCCGTGGAGCCTCATCTCATTGCTCTTTCCCATCTGTGCTGTGTTACTCCTGCCAGAGGTTTTTATTTGACCAAAGGAAAAAAAAAAAGAAAAAAAAAAAGGAAAAAAAAAAAGCTGGAAATAAAACCCACACACTATATTCCCTCTGCAAGCACCCCACGCCTAGAAGTGCAGTCTGCTGCTCTCAGCGCCTCTAATTAGCTAAGCAAGGCAAGTGCTCATTAGCCCCACCTGGGTCACTGTGCAACGGGGAACGCAGAGCATTAACCCCCACACGGCTGCCGAATAAAGAGGCGGGGGGCATGGCTGTGCTGGGGCTGGCTGTGCGGGCAGCCTGGCCCTGGAGATGGGTGCCTTTGACAGCAGCTGTGCTGGGAGGGCTGTGGGCATGGTGAACATACTTTCCCTGGGTAGTGTCACGGGCTGGGGGGAAGATTTGGGAGGGGAGAGATGTGTTGCAGCAGTGCTAAGCACAGCGCTGTGATTTCAGCATCCCAGAGTGTTTCTGCATGCGAACAGAGGGAGGCCCTGGCACGGTGGGGACAGCCACGGCAGCAAACTTCAGTTTGGCACTGATCGGATGCTTTGTAGCTCTAACTTCAGGGAGCCAGCTGCTGGCTTAATAATAATCATAAAACCTTCGATACGTTTTTGTTAATGTTGGGTCACAAGGGGTAAGTGAGCACCAGAACTACCCCCTGTGCTATCACACAAGAGTTTCTCTCCGCCTATGTCACAGCTCCTCTTGGATGAGGCGCTTCCAGCTGAGCCCAGGGAGCGGGGTGCTGCACATATGTGCAAGACGAATCAATCACTGCCTCCGACAGCTCGTAGCCTTTAAGTAAAGGCATTTGTACGTGAGGTTTACTCTGCCTGCCCATTCCGAGTCAGTAGGAGAGCAGAAATCAGCCTATGGTTCCTCATCCAGCAAAGGTCATTATTGTTTTTAGGAAATTGGTGCTGAACCACAGAAGGCATCTGTCTGGGAAAGGACAGGAGAGGAACGGGAGCAACTCCTGTGGCTGCAGACCAGAGGTGGTGATGCGTGCTGAATGGCAGCGAGTGCTGAAAACATCACTGCTCTCCCTGGTACAAAGAAACAGCATGGGGCATGGCAGCTGCAGCAGATGAGGATGCAGGGAAAGGGTGGAGAGGGCTTAAAATCCCTCATGAGGGGTGAGAGAAGCGCTGCCTGCCTCTGTGTCCACCAGCCTGCAGGCAGGAGGAGGACAGGGAAAGGTAGTGATAGAGTCTGGCGTGAGAGACCCAACCCGGGACTGGTAATTATACTGGGAATACCAGCTATATGCTGTTCTGCCTCCCCTTCAACATTTGCGATGGGTGCTGAGGAGCCCGGGGGATGCCCCTGAGTTCCCCGGGGTGGGATCCACAATCGGCTGGAAGTGCCCCAGCAAGGAACCAGCAATGAGGCAGCGACATCCCAAAGCACGGCTTTTGGGGGTGTAGATCCACAGCACACAGCGAAGCAATTCTGGCAGTGATCAGTGTCGTGTCTGGCCGTTTGTCCCAGCACGTGCTGCCTCGCTCTGTAGTCTGCCTGCAGCAGCTTAGGGTGTTTAACATGGACCTGTTAATAAAACTGCAGGTAGCTGTAACTTATGTTAGTGTCTTCATTTCACAGACAGTGGTCTTGGGGCACACAGAGCACTTGTATTAACGGTGTGGACTACATAACCTGACAGGATTAAAAAAGGGTTTAGCACTTACACTCTTGTCTTTTTTCCTCAGCTGGATCAAAGGAATTAATCTGGCTGGTTCTGTTTTATTTCAAGCCATCCTTCCCTTTCTCTCTGCTGGTTAGTCTTCCCTAGCATGGTCTTCAAAGTCTGGGTTGGGAAGGCTGCAGGGGAATTCTGGCTGTCACTTTGGTTTATATGTAATATTGCTGTTGTAATGGTATCTGAATGTTTTGCTAAATGGATTCTTGCTTGTTTTTGCTTTTAACCTGACTGCTGTAATGCTGCTTCGCAACAACAGTGCCTGCCTCTCGTGGGGAAAGAAAAATTAGTTGAGAAAAGCGCTTGCTCTGGAAAGGTGTGGGTAGAGTTGTGATGGGCATTTAGAAACCCTATTTACATCAGAAAGAGAGGGGAGGGCAAGGAAAGCAAAAGTGAAATCTGCCTCTCTAACCAAAGAGGCTCCTCAGGAAAGCTTGGGCCAACCTTACCGGTGGCCCAAGCACCCCAGATTCAGCATCAGCTGGTAGGTGCACGTACAAAGCAGTGTGCTGAGCAGAAGGGTGATTCAGGGGACCTGGGGAGCCAGCAGCACCCCACTTGGCCTTTGGCACCACTCAGCACACCCCATCCCCTGTAGCACGTGTGATAGGAGCAGCCCCACTGCCCCGCACCCCCAGGCGTGCCCCACCCTCACCAGACACAGGTGCTCCAGTTTCAGCTGTGTTTATGCTGGGTGAGTTTAATTGCACGTCCTGGATTCAGCAAACCGGTAAAAGTGCAGCTTGAACTGGTTCAAGAGCATCTACATCAGGGATCTGGAAATAACTCAATTTTGCTGTATGCCAGGGAAAGTTTTCTCCAGGTGGGACGGGCTTCAAACCAATGGCATTGCTGGGAATGTCAGCTCCCTGTATTTACAGAGAAATGGGACTGAGTCTCCCCATCCTACCTAGAATAATAATGTTTAGTGTATAAATAGCATTTTATAATTTCAAAGCAATAAACACTGAGATGCCATGGTAATGAGAGCTGACAAGGCACTACCATTAACTAATTAAGCCTCGCAACTTCCCTGCGGTATCTAAATGTGATGGTTCCCATTTTATAGACAAAGAAAATCTATCTGAATTGATTTACTCCAAGGCACAGAGCAATCCAGAGAAAGAGCTGGAATCGCAGCTCAGCACCGCCGATGCCTGGATGCTGGCTCTGTCCTCCGCGAGGCTCTGCCTTGGTTCCAGGCCGTGTAACCTCGCATCCCCTTCTTAGCAGGATTTAGAAATGAAGTGTTTTTAATTTTTGTTGACTGCTATGGAAGGAGTGGGGCATCCCTGCCTCCCTAGCCAAATTCGGTAGCAACAAGCAGAGGTAGCGGTCAGGTTAGGGATGGATGCAGGCGAAGTTGCAGTAATTTGGCATCCAGGAGCTGCGCTCACCGCACACGTAGTGAGGCAGGAAAAGCAGCTGATGGGTGGGCACCAAACACAGTGCTGGAGAGAGCTGCCTTGGCTTAAGCCATCCCGTGTCCTGCCTTTCCAGCCCCCACAAGGGCTGCAGCAATTGCTTTGCAGGTGCCCGCCCCCCGTGCAGTTTGCACAGCCTTAGCAGTTTGTATAGCACTGGGCCTGGCCCAGAAACCTCCGTGGGAAGCAGCACGTCTGCAGCACTGGGGCTGAACGGGAGCCCTCTCGCTTTGCACAGGTAGGTGCCGAACAAAACCTTTGGTAGCTCTGCGATTAGCTGGTGTAGATAAGAAATCGAGTTTTCCTTCATATCATCTCTTTAGGTCCCGATGGGAGAAGACTGGCCGTGACAAAGGACATTTCAGCAGCACTGCCAGAGCTGCTTCGATAACTCAGCCCCCATCCAAGAAGGTGTTGAGACAGAACCCAGCGGTTACAGGTTGCAAGGAAATCATTCCCTTAATGCCCCTAAAGACGCACAGACTTTCTGCACCCTCTGCACCTCATCCTGGGGTTTCTTTTCGTGCCCCTGGCTGGGTGTTCAGAGCACAGCTTTAGGGACCAGCACCGGAGCACACGGCACTTGTACCAGTGCCATTGCTGATCACGATTACTACACCCGTTTGTGCTGTAGCACCACTGCCTGCCAAATAGCTGCGGACTGCAGGAGTGGAGACAGCGGGGCTGGAGGGCCACAAAAGCACTTGGGTTTGTGTACCCCTGCACTGCCTGCTCCCCGTCCCGCTCTGTGGCCGCAGGAGCAGCCAGCACCCAGCTTTACCCCATGCCAGATATCTGCATGGGTGCCCTGCAGCATCTGTGCACCCAGCCGACCCCAAATAAACACGGCTGGAGCCCCCAGCGCTGCTCCTGGGGGAAGATCTGGAGAGGTCCAGGTTCCCCAGCTTTAAATCCATTGCCACAGATTATCCTGCTCCTGTCGATTGCTCTCCAGGGGACAAAACATCAAGTTACAACCTGTGGTTTTCAGCCCCAATGGATTAAGAGCAGAAAATGTGTTGAGACCTAAGGCTGAGATCTCCGGGTTTGATATGCAGCTCAGCAAAGCATACAGGGGAGCAGCCTCGGTGGAAGATGCTTTGCCACAGCAGTGCTGGCCAAATTCCCAGCAAGCAGATGCTTTTCAACTACCTAAGAGAGACATCGTAAGCCGAAAGTGGCACAATGCTGCTAATTTTCTGCCTAAACCTCCGGTGCTGTGTGACTGCTGTGACGCTCAGGGAAAGGGTGGCTGCTTGTCAGTAGCAAGTGGTATTGCTCACACTTTCCAGCAGTTTGCTTAGCCCAAAGTACTGCTGGTGTGTCCTGAAGTAATTGTCTGGGACACTGCAAGGAGCACCGATGGCAGTAAGTGTAAGTGCTGCCTCCGAACCGGGCAGCAGGCACAGAGACCCCTTCCCACGTAGCACCTCCCGCAGCATTTGCTGCTGCTCCCCTTCCCCTGGCTGCCGTGCATCTTGTCTCAGCCTCCCGTGGGCCTCTGCTGTCCTTACCCATAAAATCGCAAGCAGAGGCTTAAAATAAGCAAGAAATCAGAAATCCAGCATGGTTTTCTTCTCTCTTTTCTCCTGCCTTACTTACAGGAGGCAAAATTTCTTGTCTGCTTTCGCACCTTTCCTGCGTTCCTCCAGCTGCCTCCATGACCCCAGCCCCACCTGGACCCAGGAAAACCCCTGCCCTCATTGTCACTGTGCATGCCTGGGTCAGGTCGAGGGATAAAAGCCAGCCCCCTGCTGCTAAGCACTCCCCTTCAGCTGCAGTCTTTGCTCTGCTCAGGGAGGCTTTGCAAGTGCTACCCAAACCACGACATCCCTCGGCTCAGGAGGCCTTCAAAAGGGAGAGAGGAACTTCAAAATGGGTTAAATGGGAAGAATCCTAACAGGTGGAATCTGCTTGGGGTGAAGGTAGGAGACTAAATCAGTACTTAACGCAGAGAGCGGAAAGAAGTCGTGGTGCTAGGCTACTGAGGGAGCAAGCAAGGGAGCTCTAAAATTCAGAGGTGCTACAGAAGGGAGCCGAAGCAACTCTCACAGAGAAGCACAGGGCTCCTGTTTTGAAGGAATGTTTGGTGTGATGTATTCCCTGTTGTTTCCCCTGAATTACGAACTCCTGAAGCTTCTGGGAACACACTCCCAGTGAGGCTAGGGTCTAAGACACATCACTCAGGTCTTTTGGGAGGAAGTGGAGAGCAATCCCCCCTTCTTTTTGCTTCCAGGTGACAGGTTTTGGCCAACAAGAACGGGGACATTGGGTCCCTGCATCTCCTGCAACGTTTTTATTTGGTTTTGGAACTCAGAATCCGGCATCTTTTCTTAAAGAAATGAGCTCAGAAGCACAGAGATGATCTCAGACAGCAAAAACGGGAGGCTTTGATTTGGACCATCAGCCTCACAGAACGGCTGTGTGGTGCGAGCACTCAGCTTACAGCCTGGCTGGGAGCAAAGGAAGAGCAGAGACAAGGGGAGGAGAGCATGTGTGGAGGGAAGTGAGCCACCAGGACTGGATATTGAGCTGAATAATCAGTGAGTGGGTGACGTCTCACCAGCAGCCTAGAAAAATAATGGTTGAGAGGAAGAATATAGCATACTGGGAATGGGTGGTGTTTAGAGCATGCTGTTGTGTTTGGTTATGAACGGGAAGCTCAGCCAGAAGTGGCACGGAAGAGGAGAAGCACACAGATTTGTGAATGGAGATATTTATTAAGGAGGAGGAAAAGCTGTATTGTGCTCACCAGGTCTTTGCCATCTGTTGAATAGCAGTCAGAGAGCAAAGATTGTAGTGTTTGAATAATAAATTCAGGGAAGTGCTTTAAAACCAGTGCAAGAAGCTGGCAATGTTAAGCTACTTTAAGTGATCTTGGGCAGCTCCCAGCATCCTTGCATAAAAAGCACAGTATCAGAGAAAGCACAGCCTGACAGAAGTAATAGGGACGATAGAGGGAGCCAAATTAATTCAAAAAAAAATAATAATAAAATAGGACTGTAGCCTTTCGGATGCAACGAGAGATTAGGAGACTTCATTAAGGCTCACAAAACTCTTAACGGGCTAGAGCGTGGGGACACTACAAAGCCGCTTGACCCAGTGTCAAGAACAAGCAGCGATGCAGCAGTAAGATAAGCCCCGGCCGGGCGCTGCAGGAATTCGGGGAGGAATGTCAGGGAGCGAGCAAACGCAACACAAACTCCCCTTACACGGCCATGGGACAAAAACGCCTGCTCCGTGGGAGAACGGGGCACTTATGCACACAGCAAGCACTGCTGCCGGCCCGGAGGGAGCTGTGCCACGAGGATTTGCCACTCGGAGAGCTCTGGCATTTTGCAGGGGTCCTCCTGCGTGCTGGAGGAGCGCTGTAGGACAGCCCGCGTGCCGCTCCTCCGTGGTGTAACAGCCGGAGCTGCTGCAGGGCGATCGGACACTGCCTCGCTCAGCAGCGGGTCTGGGAGTCAGCGTGCCTCCCGGGTCAGGCTTTGGGTAGGACATAGGGTGTCCCGCATGGAGTGAGCTGCTCCACCGGGAGTTGGGGTGGCTCAGGGGCAGCGGGCGCAGATGTTGTGTTTTGGTGAATAACGCACGGGCGTCCCGCTTGGCGTGACGATGCCATTAAATAACGCATGGCTGTCCCGTGTCACGTGCTTGTGCTGCTCCTGGTGCCCACACCCGCACCTACTCCATCCCTGAGCGCTGCCGGTCCCCCAGCCTCAATGAAGCCTCGCGCTAACGAACCCCTGTGCTAATTACCCCCAACACCCCCTGCTAACTACACACACTCCAACCCTTTCCTTGCCGCACCTCAGCCGCGCTCCCCCACATCCCCGGGGGCACCCCTCACCCCTCCATACCCCGCTATGGGGCTGCGCGGCCCCTCGTTAATTGCCCCCCTCATTAATTAGCCCTTCCCGCCAGCCCCGCCGCCACGTGCTGCCGGCACCGCCGAGGCCACGCCCACCCCGGGATGGCCCCGCCCACCCCGCGCCTAGCCACGCCCCCTCCCCATTAGCCCCGCCCCCCTGTGGGCGTGGCCGTGCGGGCGCGGGTGCCCCGTTGTTGTGATCGGCGCCGGCCCCGCCCCCTCCTCGTGCGCTGCCCCCCCCGCTGGCCACGCCCCCGCCCCTCCGCGCCCTCCTGGCCACGCCCCCCGGGCCGGCAGCGCCCTTCCCATTGGCTCAGCCGGCGCCAGGCCCCGCCCCCGCCCCGCGCCCAGCTGCTCCCGGTGGCGCGCCGGCTGCGGGCATGGCGCGGGCGGGCGGCGGCGGAGGGATGGGACCGCGGAGTGGCGGCCGCCCGCGGCACGGGCAGCAGCAGCAGCACCGGTACCGGTACCAGCACCATCAGCAGCAGCAGTGCCCGCAGTGCTCGCAGCGCCCGCAGCAGCAGCGCCCCCGCCGGCCCTAGCGCCCCCGCCCCGCTCTCGGGCGGCAGCGAGGGGGCAGCGCGGTGCCGCCGGGGGGCGGCCGCTGAGCGGCGTGGCGCCGGGGGGCGGGCGGAGCGCGGCGCCGCTCAGCGCAGCCCAGCTCAGCTCCGGCGCGGCGCCCAGCCGCCCAGCCAGGCAGCGGCAGGCAGCGGCCGGCGGAGATGTGCCCCGAGGAGGACGGCGGCTGCGGCGGAGGAAGAGGAGGAGGAGGAGGAGGAGGAGGAGGAGGAGGAGGAGGAGGGGGGGGAGGAGGCGGTGTGGCCGGTACCGGCGGCTCGGAGGCGGCGGTGGCGCTGGACGAGCTCCGCTCGTGGTGGGAAGTGCCGGCCATCGCGCACTTCTGCTCGCTCTTCCGCACCGCCTTCCGCCTGCCCGACTTCGAGATCGAGGTGAGACCCCGCGGCCCGGCCCCGCGCCGCAACTCCCAAAACTTTCCCCGAGCACCCCCCTCCCTCCCCTCCCCTCCTCCTTCCCCCGGTGCCGGTGCCGGCGGGGCCGCATTGTTCCGCCGGGCACCCGGCCGCACAAAGCTGGGGGGGGGTCCCCGTGCCCTGGGGGGGGTCCCCGTGCCCGGCCCCAAATGCTGGAGGCGGGAGGAGGGCACGGCTCGGGGCCCCCTCCCCAGCCCCAACCTCCCCGGGGTCCCCCCGGTGCGCGGGGGCCGTGCCCTTTGTTGGGGCCGGGGTCCCCGCCTGGCTGCGCTTTGTGCCGGGGGCTCGGGCACCTCGCTCGCCCTCCGCCCCGCGGGACCGGCGCCTTTTGGGGCGCTTTTGCGCGTTTTTCTTCCCCAACTTTCCTCCGGGTGCGTGTTTTTGTTCGGTTCGGGCTGGGGGCTGCGTGGGGCTGAGCGCGCCGCCGGCGTGCCCTGCTCCGGCCGCGAGGGTTACCCACAAAGTGCGTCCCGGCAGTGGGAAAGCTTTTGTGCTGGCTGTGAAAAGCTATTCTTGCCGGCACATCGGCAATAAACCGGGTGAATAACGCGGTGGCGTGTGTTTTTTAAGACAGTAATTGCCCCCCTGAATGCGAATTCCAAAGATGCTTAAAAGTTCAATAGGATGTGCGAAGCCCTAAAGAGCAAAACTCCTTGAGCAGGATGTGAATTTCTGAAGAGGGGGAATCCCTTATGCGGTGCGAAATCTTGAAAGGGGATAAGGTCTCTCAATGATGCAACTTCTTGCGAAAGGGAACTCCCCTCCCCCTCCTATTGATGCAAACCCATTAAAGGGGGAGGCTCTCCGGGCCCAGCAGCGCAAAGTCTTGAAGGAACCTGAATTTACAATGATAAAAGGGCCGAGGCACTAGCCTTTCACCTTTGGAGGCAATTAGCATCTGGCTTGCTTCACAGGCGAAGTAAATGTGGGCTCCCCTTTGGTTCCTGGAGCACGCTTGGGACGGGGGAGTTGCCGTCGCTTGGGACAAATTGCCCCTGCTTTTTGGGGGACGAGGAGCGGGCGCAGGATGCAGAGCGAGGACTGGCCCACCAACAACGTCTCCAGAACCCGTGCCTGTGGTGGTTTGCACAAACGGGCTTTAAAGGATGGGATTTTTGCGAGGGACGGTGGAAACCACGGTTAAAGTCAGGATATGCAGTGAGAGGAGAGATTCAGCTGTCGGAAGCTGGCGTCTAAAGGCACGGGGAGTGAATCTTCCTCCTCCCCGCATGCCGCCAGCAGCACAGGGACTTGCTCTTCCTTGAAGTTCACCATCTTGGTGCCTCTTCCAGTCCCATCCGTGGCTTCAGGGATACGAGAGCAGCACGCTGCACAGAGCGCGTACACCAACAGTTCATGGCGTGAAACTGGTGGCCAGCGAGGGGACTTAAAATGCTTCTTGTTTGTTTGTTTGCTTTTCTCTGAGAGCACTGCTGTGGGAGACTTTTGGTTTGTACTTTACTCAGCTGCGGGAAGGAGGCTCCCCACTTGGTTTCAGAGCTGGTGTTCTGGTGTCTGAGATGGGCTTTGCGTTGTGGGGTGCCTGAATGAAACGGAGGTGGTCGTTCTGGGCTTTTAGGGAACGCTACAACTTGAGGCAGTGCTGGAGGACAAAACGGCCAGCCAACGGGCTTCAAGCTGTGCTTGTGCACGCAAATGGAGTTTTCTTGGTTTGGCTTTGGTTCTTGAGGGGACCGCTTGTGGCTGAAGGGAAGTGGTTCGAGATGTTGCTGCCCCTTCCCTCAAAAGATACCCTCCACCAAGGGCAACCGAGGGGTGCAAGCCCTGCTCTGCTTTAATGCCAAGTAAAACAGGTGGCTTGAGCAAGCGTGTTTTCTGTGTCGAACTGGAAATGGAGAGCTCACGCAGCTGGGGGTTTCGTCTGAAGGGTGCTGATGCTCAGACTGCTGGAGGTTCATGGCAAATGCTTGTCCGACTGTGTCCCTCATCTCTGATGTCGGCTCTTGCTGATGGTGGGAGGGCTGAGCTCTCCTCTCTAGTTAAAACCTGCCTGGTGGATCTGTTTTTTGCTGATATTACGTATCTCAGGTGGCTTTGGTTCTGAACTCTTAGAACATTATTGCAAAGGCAAAAGTTTTAAACAAACCCTGATTTGTTTGTAACAAGTATCCTCTGCCCTCCCGGTTACGCTGATGTTAGCACGCTGTGAGAGTGTCTCTGCCGCAATCACGGCAGTCCCCAGAGCAGACAAAACCTGATCTTCCATATGTTTAAAAAAAATAAAAATAAAAAGAAGCTGTAGCTAATTTTTCTTCTTTCTTCCCTCTCTCTGATTTCTCTCCTGGTAGGTCTGCCCGTATTTTGTTGCAAGGCTCGGTAATGATAGGCCATCTGGACCCATCCCTCTCATACCAAGCAGATTTGCCTGTGGTATTTGAGAAGTTTGGGGACTTTAGTACAGCGAGGCAGCGCAGAGCTCTTTCTTTCTTTTTTTTTTTTTTTTTCCTTTTTAAACGCAGCCCTTTTGCCCTACACTTATTGGTCCGAAAGAAAGTGAAGCTTCCAGATGCGGGCTGCCATCCGCAGCTGCACGCGGCAGAAACCTGGGAAGCAGATGTTTTGTTTTTCTTTTCCCCTGGACCAGCGAGCGGCCGGGAAAGGGGTGTCCAAAACCGGAATAAAGGAGCGCATCCATCAGGCCGGGCGCTGGGCATTGTTCTGGGGAAGGGGTGGGCGCAGGCGGCCCCCATGCTGGCTCCGGCAGATGCAGGCGCCTGGCGAGGAGGCGCGGGGGCTCCTGCGCTTTTCAAACCCCGGCCGCAGCGGTGGGCTGGGGAGGGGGCAGCCAACACCGGGTCAAAAGTTCAGTGGGACAGCCGTGAGCACACGCGTGTGTGCCAGGACGTGGCCGGGTCCACCCGTGGGGCTGCACCCGAGGGCGCTGCTGTCAGCGGACTCGTTTTTTTTTTTTTTAGTTTGCCCCCACCGCCGCCCCCTCAAATGGCCGCCGTGTCAGCCATCTGCCGTGCAAAACTTCCACGCTGCTTCCAAAGTGGGCTTTTCGCCCTGCTGCTTCGCTTGTGGCTTCCTGCTCAGTGCCTTGGGAAACCTGCGTGGGGCGGGTTTGTCCTCACCAGCTCCAACAGCGCTCCGGTTGGGAGAGGGGCTGTTCGTACCGGGCACTTTTAAAAATAAGTGTTTATTTCATATGGCCTGCCCTGCTGGACGGAAAGGATGCTTTCCACAGTCAGGTCGGTGCATGTGATGATAGGAAGCGTTTTGTTTTCCTCTTCGAGACCGGGCTGTAATGCGGGACACCTCTCGTGACAAAGCGTCTCCTGGACGCGTGCCCTTCCCTCTGTGACAGATGTATCATCCTGGCGGCTGCGGGGATTGTTTGGGTAGAAAAGTATTAGGAGAAAATTTAATGTTTTCAACCGTGTTTCAGCACAACTTAAAGAATAAGGGAACTGGAGAGCAGCCAGCGTGGCGCGGCCACCCAGCTCTCTGGCATGTGCTCCTGGGAGCTCTGGGCTAAAACATTTGGGAACTTCTGCCTGGGTAGGTCGAGGGGAGGTGACTTTTGAGAACGTGCTTGAAAATAGTCAAAACATTGTTGTTAACTTAGTTTATTTGGAAAAGGGGAAAAGCCACATTACGTAGGGAAAACATAAATCTTTTCCTGTGGTTTTTAAAAGCGCCTTTGGGCAAATTGCCTCTGCTGCTAACTTCGCTGTGGCTCTAAGATGCTTTTCCTCTTTTCCTCTCCCTTCCTTACGCTTCAGGCTCTAGCTCTACCTTTAGCTACTCTCCTGCTGCCCAAAGACTGGGCACTGCTGCTATTGCACAGCGTCCTCTTCCCACAGCGCAGTATCCACCATACCAGCCCATGAACAGGCTCTTTCTGTCAGGGAATATGATGTGGCTGTTACAAACCAGTGGCTACTACTGCTCCCATGGGTCCCCAGGGGGAGGAGGAAGAGTGTGGAGAGAAGGGGGATCTGTGCTGCTGCCTGCAGGCTGTGGCTGTGTGAAGGATTGAGCACAGAAGAGGGGATTTCTTCTACCCCTGCAAACCAGGTAGAACTTGGGAAGCCAAAACCTTTTAACTCGCTAACCTTTAGGTGCACTCAAATTTTAGTACTTTGAAAAATGTGCCGTTTTTTCCTGGTGAGGAGAGGATGGCCAAATGCACTTTGACCTCTGCTGTCCTGTTTTGCTAGGTCCTACTGAAACTTCTCTGGAGCCCCTTGCTTTCTGTCCTCTGGCTGGGTCCCTTGAGATCCACGGCACCAAGTGCATGGCCTTCCTCTTCTGCCAGTGGTGTGTCTGGAGTTAACTGTGTATGCGCTGTGCTACCGAAACTGAGTGCTAAGCCTTCCCTCCTCAGTGGCTATTCTGGCCCAGTACTGCATTGTTCTTTGTGTTACAGTAGCATCTACGGCACCTACTGATCCGCTATGTCATATGAGGTCTGAGAAGGCCAGGTAGTTCCTGACTGGGAACACTTGGGGTCTAATTAAGATAAATGTGACAAGTAGGTGTAACAAGCTAGCTAAAATGTAAGTCAATTTGTGTAGGTCAGCTCTACTTGTACAAGGTAAGTCCAAGCTAGTTCAAGCACCTTCTCTGTAGAGTATTTCAGGCATCAGGATGTGCCTCTTGCCATCTGCCCATCAGTGGTAGACATCTTAGAAATTTGAATATCAAGTGGAAAAAAAGAATGAAATGTACAGTGGGTACTGTTTTTATTGTTCTTCCTACCTGTCCCACTGATGTTTGGTTTTGATGACACTGCAACATCTCATCCCTCTTACTGCATCTCTTCCAGCCGCAGCTCTTACGTTGCTGGTCTTGGCTTTTGCTGCCTTACTTATTCTGTTCATAATAGAATCATTAGCACTCTGAATGTCAGTATTGGGCTCTAGAGTTCATTGAGATTAATGGAGGGGGAGGCAGAGAGATACTTCTCAGAGCTGTTGTTTCAAGTGGTCTGC